TTCCAGGGTTTTAGGACTTCTGGTTGTCCAGTTTTTGGGTAAGGATTGTGGGTGTGTAGCGTGTGGGGTTGATGGAGGGTTTTCAGTTGCTTCTTTTTTGGTGTGCGCGGTGCTAGGGCTTGTCGATTCTTGCCATAAATTCGAGAGTTGAACCATCAACCCCAAGCTTACGCAAGTCGTCTAGGATCCATCGCTTGGTTTGCAATGGAGCCTTTTTTTGACTACCCATTACGATGCTTCCTTACTTGGGGATCGTTTCTCAACCTAGTCCTCGAATTGTCTGCGGTTCAAAGCACGGTGTAACATTCGATGAGGAAGGCTCTTCAGGATTGGAGGCACCCCAAACCTGCCCACAGCAACCTTTGCCATTCGGAAGGCTCTTCACTTTCCTACGATTCTCAAGTGTCCAAAATGTCCACATATTGTCCTTTTCTAAGTGTCCCACCCCTCCCCGAGCTTCGCAGTAATGCGATACTGTATGTGAATTTGGTGTGGCTCTGGTTTTGGCATGTTGTGGGTCGTGCTTGGGTTGTCTTGTGGTGGGTATGTCTTCACACTACTGCAGTCAGCCGACCAATGCTACACACCAAGACCTACCAGCGCCCCGCAACTACCCTTTGACCATAATGGTAGGGTATGTTAGCCCTCTTCGTGAGAGGGTAGTTGGGGGGTGCAGGTAAATCCTTAAACCCTATAAGCCCATTCAGATTCCCCACTTCGGCTCCTCGAAGCTGACGGCGCTGGCAGCCGTGCGGCGGGACGGGTGCGCGCGGCATGGTCTTTCAAATCGTGTGTTTTTGGGGGCTTGGGGGGTCTTGACTTGGGATGTGAGGCTGCTGGGTTTCCAAGCCCTCAAGCCCGAACCCTAAAGGGTTTAGGGTTTAGGGTTCGTTCGGGTGGCCCCCTGGTGTGGTTTCATTGAGTTGGGTGTTGGACGATTGTGGGTTCAGCCTAGGCTGACTAGGCTGAAGCCCCCTCAAGCCCTCAAAGCCCGAAGAGAAGCATCGGCTCTGAAAGTTTAGGGTTTTTTCAATTAAACTCGACATACCCTAAACCCTAAACCTCAAACCCTAAACCCTAAACCCCCCGCACACCCAAACGCCGCAAAAACCGAAGCAGGCTCCTGCTGCAGCACGCGAGCCGAACGCTGCGGGAAGATCCCGAGGCCTCTGCAGTTTCGGAGCGCAGGGTTTAGGGTTTAGGGTTTAGGGTTTAGGGATTAGGGTTAGGATTTAGGGTTTGGGGGATAGGGTTTACGGAATGGGGTTCAGGGTTCTGGGTTCTGGGTTCTGGGCTTGGGTCCCCTGCTTGGAGGCATAGGCAGGGTTAGAAGTATGGTAGAATTCTGATAGCCCTATTTAGGGGTACCCATGAGCCTCCAAGTAGGAAATGAGGGTGGAGGGGTTTTGGTGTATTCTGCTTTTTGAGAGTTGAGCTTTAGATTGGTCAGTTTGACCTTACGGCCTCAATCCGAAGCCTCGGCCCATGACACCCCAACAATGGGGGGTTTAGGGCTTAGGGCTTAGGGCGTAGGGCTTAGGGTTTAGGGTTTAGGTTTTAGGTTTAGGGTTTAGGGTTTAGGCCGCTCCTACCTGACTCCAGGTCATCATCCACACGGGGCCTTAACTTTGGGGGGACCTTTAGGGCATCATGGCGCTTAACATAGGGGTCGGAATAATTACTAAGAGTATTCCCTTATGGTCCCCTTATAAAATATACTACAATAACCCCCCCCAAACTCTATTCTAATTATACAGGCCCCTCAACCCTAAACCCTGAACCCGAAACCCTAAACCCTAAACCCAATTCTAATTATTCAGGCCCCTATATTACTTACCCAAGCCTAGCGTCCACCTGCGGGAGGTCGTCGAGGCCGCTGTGAGGCAAAATCCTGATGCCCAGGGCCGGGTGCTCAGGATGTCAAGCCCGAGGGTTTGGGGTTTAGGGTTTAGGGCTTAGGGCTTAGGGCTTCGGCCTTAGGGCTTAGGGCTTAGGGCTTAGGGCTTAGGGCTTAGGGCTTAGGGCTTAGGGCTTAGGGCTTAGGGCTTAGGGTTTTCCGAGTTATAGATTTCGGTGTTTCGGGCTTAGGCTTTAGGGTTTAGAGTTCAGGGTTCATGTTCTAGAGTTCAGGCGTCAAGGCAGGGCTCGACTCCTCTCTTTGGTGTTCAGGTTTCGTCCTGCAGCCGAAAGCTTTAGGGCGAGCACGAAAATGAGTCCTGAGCCGACACCCTCAAGGCACATCCCCTTCCCAGGCTTCTCTCTCGGCACTGCCCGCACAAAGTTGGAGGCAAAGCACTCCCCGGACGAGGCCACTGCGACGATTTTTCGGCTTACGTAGGAGCCTGGAAGAGCGCAAAAAGTTAAAACTTTTTTCGCCTATGCACCCAATAGCCTAGAAAAGCGTGCCAGGAATCATCCAGCTTGGGTGCCCCTTACATGATGCCTGTGATCTTGTGGCTCCTAAGTTCACAAGCCCTACGGACCCGGGCCTAGGACTACACCCTGACGTCGAAAGCCCAGCAGCCCTTTCGGCACCTCAAGTACATAAAGTTTGGGTCTCGAGGCGCCCTCCCCAGTGGCCGCCACCAAGCAGGCGAAGCCGAGTGGGGTGGAAGGCTTTGATTTGCATTCTGAGGTCCGAGGTCCGAGGGGAGGAGCGATAATGCCAAGAACAAGAACACTAACCCGAGTTAGACTCAGAAGATCGGTTATATGACTATGCACATGCAAGTAGCATGCAAATAAGATGTGTTCATGTCTCAGCTGATAGCTCATGGCGAACAAGCTCGAAGCCAACTTATGGTATGCTCCCCCCCCCCCCCCCTTAGCCGAAGGATGCAGTCGCGTGATGTGCAGAGATGCTAGCATTCTCCCAGCGCTGCTGTTGCTGCAGGGGTTGGTATAGCCTGAACCTCGAGAATCCTACGTCCCCTAGACCCTGGACAGACCACGAGCCCCCAAATGTGCGCAGCATTCGCAACCGGTTTAGGGTTTGGGGTTTAGGGGTTAGTAAGGGTCAGGGTTTAGAGTTTGATGAGGGTGTAGAAATTAAGGGTTCAACGAGCTCCTACGCCCCAAACCGTAAACGCTGCAACCCTACAAAAACAAGCCCCACAAGCCCCCCCCCCCAACCCCCCCCCCCCCCAAACCCCTAAACCCTAAACCCTAAACCCTAAACCGTAAACCCTAAACCCTCCCCAAAATGACATCGAAAAGCCCCGGACAAGAGAGGCGAGCCTTCTGCCCTGGAGCTCGTCGAAGGAGATTGCAGGGCTCATCAAGTCGAACCCATGGGCTGCTAGGGCTTAGGGTTTCAGGGTGTAGGGTTTAGGGTGGGGGTTTAGGGTTTAGGGGTTAGGGCTTAGGGTTTAGGGTTAGGATGGAGGATGAAGCCGCCTGAGCTCTAAACCCAGGGTTGAGGGTTTAGGTTGAGGGTAACCCTGTCAGTGTTGAGGGCTGTTCTGGTTTGTAAAGTCGGGGGGAGGGCGTGGATTGATAAACATGTTGGGCCTTGCATGAAGGAGCTACCTTCGGGAAGCCTGAAATCCCTCGCCTGATTACAGGTCACTACAGGAGCAGGTCGCTACAGGAGCGTGTGCGGTTTTCGACGGCTGTAGGGTGGTGGGGGCTGAAGATCTGAATGAAGGGGACGCAAGCCCTGAGCCCTTAACCCTAAACTTGTTCTGAGCAAGATGGGTTGACGGGGCAAGCTTCGTCGATGTTTCTCTCCATTGGATGCGGCCTTGGGGGAGGGTTCAGTGCTCAGGCACGCAAAAAAAGCAGGTTATAGGGATTACGTCTTCAAGGCCCAATCCTTGACCCTTCACACCAGCGACTCCGACACCAACCCCCGACTCCGCAATCTGTAGCTGACAGCGGGTACGGCCGCGCCATTCTAAGCTGCGATAAGTTGCGTTCGGGTCGGGCAGGAGGGCGAGCCACGCAGTGAGTGGTGCTGCTGAGCTTGCTCACGGAGCCCAAATGCAGCCCTTACATAATCTCGGGTGGTATTCTCAGGCCTGCCAGGCTTTCCCCTACATGGACCCTACACCCCAGCCTCGACCCAGCATGTATGACTGGCCACTCTGCCCAGCTCGCTACAAGTTTCAGACTACGGTTGCTTGGACAGGTCTGCGGAGATGGGATGTGCCTCCTAATGCCCGATCTCTTCATACAGCCAAGTTTGTTGTTTACATAGGCCCCCCGAGCTGGAGCGGCTTCGGGCACGGTGGCGGTTCGTTTCGTTTTTTTCGTCATGGAAGGCAGAGCTGGGAAACGAGACTCAAGAAGCAGTCGTCCATGCCCGCTGCTTGGAGGTTCATGGGACTTAATAACCACTTATAACTGGGCTTATAACCCTACTTATAATTGGGATAACCCCATATAAGGCCTTTTAGGGGTAGGGTTATAAGTACAGTTATAAGTGGTTAGTAAGTACCATGAACCTTCAAGTGACACTCTTTGCGCCTCCGAATCGGCGATGGGCGAAGTTTGCACCTTGCTGAGCAAAAAATCGAGCTTTCGGAGGGCGCAACGATGTTCGCTAAGTACCTGCTTGCAGCGAGTGTCAAAAAACAAATCATACTGCCGGTGGATCAGCGTCGGAAAGTGTTTTCTGGTGTTTGTTGCCATTGAAGACGACTGTACAAAATCAATGGCTTCGGCCAATGCTGCGGCGGTGAGGGCGGTCGGGGCGGGGGCGGTGGGGGCGGTGGGGGCGGCGGGTATAGGAGAGGCCCTTCACTGAAGCAGGGGGCCGTCGGATAAAATCATATCTACCCCTATATATCTTTCACTCCTTCTTTAGAACCTTGGAAGATGCACCATGTAAGCTAGAGCTTACTTAGTGTGTTCATGCTTATTCGAGGCATACAACTGAAGACAGACCTATCAAAAGGACCTGCAGAGAAACGACTTGGTGCACAGCTCTCTCCGCGCAGCTGGCTGGCTCAGCTTAGCTTGACCATCATTACATTGTTTACAATCTCTTGATTTCCGGAATGAAGCAACGAGCAACGATGCCGGGAGCTGCAACCTAAGTGAGATCCTTCATGGGCTGGTTGTTCTCTGTGATGCAATCTTGTTCATGAGTTCCATTGAGTTCCTTTCCACGTTCTCATGCCCCAGTTGTTTTGTTGGCAGGGCTGTTTTTCTTTCTCTTGGACTCTTGGACACTCCAGAATTGCTGGCTTTCGTTCCTGGAGTTTGCACGTCACTAGGGGCCCAAACAACCACTTAAACATGAGGATCCTACTATTGGGGTAGAAGGACCCTTCTTTCGAAGGGGGATTCCGAAAAAAGAACCACTAGTAGAATCCTTATGTTCATGTGTTTTTTGGTGCCCTAACCCTAAACCCTAACCCTAGAGCCACAACGGACCCCCAGGTTTTCTTCTGCCTCATCTGCCCGTTCCTCTGGCCCCCTTCGGTGGCGTTCTCAGACTGGGGGCTCGGTGATCTGCACATTTGGTCTCAGGGCATTGACTGTCCTTGTATTTTTATGAATGTTACTATGACAATTCACCTAGTAGTGTGAATTAAGATTCTTATGATTATACTACTACCAATACTATCACTATAAGTATTGCCATTGCTAGTTCTAGTACTACTGCCATTACGATTGCTATTATTACCATGATTATTATTACCATAACTATTATGACTATTATGATTGCCACATATTCTTCTTATCTTATATTCTATATATATATATATATATCGGGCTTCAAATCGGCGTGCCCAAATCGGAGCGCTATCAACTGCATTGATTACCCTAAAAACTTGGCCCGGGGGATGCGTATAATTATTATTTTAAAATTTTTCTTATTATTATGATTGCTATTGCTATCATTCTTCTTACTCTTTTCTTAGTATTACCGTCATTAGTACTTTGCGATGCTGCAGTGAGAAGAGTGGAGTTTCGGGAGCCAGAAGTCCTTGGGCAAGTTGCGTCGCAAGCCCACATTGGGGCCTGATGTGCCTTTTTCCGTGGGTCTGCCATTGACATGTCAAGTCCAAGGTTTAGGGTTTAGGGTTTGGGGTTTGGGGTTTAGGGTTTAGGGTTTAGGGAAGTACATACGCAGGCTTCAAGACGTTGGAATCTAGGGTGTGGCAGTTGCATGTCAGACTCTGCTGCTATCATGGCCCAGGTCTTGGCAGCCAAGATTTTTTCAGGCCTGGCCGCCACACGTACTAAGTAGTATAAGTAATGATGATGAGCACCAGAGAAATGGGTGATGATTCAGGCGGCTGTCCTTGCCTGTCCCAATTGCGACGCTTGTGTGTGCAGAGTTTGCACATCGTGCGAGTCTTGGTGGATTGCCAAATCTTGCTTCATACAGTTTGGGGCCTTGCGGCGCAGCGTTCGACTGCGGAGGGGCCGGGTTTGAGGGCGCAAGTGATGTTCCGACGTCTGCGCGTGAAAAAGCCGTGGGCACGACGATTTTTCCACGGGCTTACTTTGCCGCCCCTCGAAAAGTGAGCATCATGAGCTCTCAGCAGTCGACAGGTGCTCCTGATTCTCGTGCTTATGTGCGAGAAGGGAGACAAAAGCCAGGAAAGACCAAGGGTCCGTGATGCGCTCCGCTCTCCCCACCCCCCAAGAGGGCAAGCATCATTACAGTTTTCTAGATGTGATACTTTGGTAGTAATATGTAGCAACATTGTATTTACCAGAAAGCCCAAGTATGTACTGTATAACATGGACCCTTTGCCTTCCCTTCCACCGACGCCCGCGAGCAGCGAGTCGGATGCACGGCAGCCCGCCACATGATGGGCAAGTCGAAGCCGGAAACGCGCGGGCGATGAAGCTAGCATAAAATCTTGCAGGCTTGCTTTTCATGCCATGCTGTTGGCTCGGAGTTGTGAGTTACTCTGCAAGAGGTCTCCAAAAACGAAGTGCTGTTGCATTACTGGATGCACAAAGTTAAGGCAGGAGTGGGGGTGCCAAGCTGCGAAAGCCGAAAAATTGGGGCACGTCGCTGTGGGAGGGAGCCGACCCAACACATGGAACCCAAAACCCTAAACCCTGAGAAGGACTTGACGCAGGCCCCACGAAGCTGGGGTCAGCAGACTCGTTCTGGGGCAGTACGTGGGTGATTACATTGTATATATGACTCATACTGCAGGCAAGTCGAGTAGATTGCAAGTACTTACTACACTTGCAAGACTTTCAGAGTACAGCGACCCCATGCAGGCCATTTAGGCCAACGTGCTCCGGAGCAATTGGGCACTTCGCATGTGTCCAGGATGCACTGGCAAATCTGTTTCCAGAGCTTCGGAAGCAAGCCCGCACTCGCTAGGCAAACACAGAGAAGGGCGGCTTGGAGGACAAGGTCTTGAGGATGATGGAGCGCATGGAGGACACGGTCGAGAAGCTGCAGCGGGAGGACGCAGGCCTCAAGGAGCAGCTGGCTCAGGTGCAGGGCAAGTTGGAGACCTTTGGAGATGGGCGATCGGCCCCTAATTCCGCTGACAACCCAGGCCTGTCGGGTCTGGTGGCGCGGCTCCAAGGCAATGGCTCCAACGACCTCAGCCCGAGCTGCAAAAAGGCGGCTAAGCCTGTGGTTCAGAATGTGGCTTCCGTTTTGCACATGCAGACGGAGAAGGCGGAGTCATCGCTGAGGGCCTGTCCTGGGGAGCTGAAGCTGATGGAGTTTGGCTCAACGGGTGTGACCGAGACCTGCTGCCCCATCACCAGCAAGGCTTGCACCGGCTGCGCCTCGTTTGGCTCGGGGACGTGCCAGCGCTGTTCGGAAGGGTTTCTGTTCCGTGACGGGATGTGCGTTGCCTGTGCAAGCTCTGCAGGATGGCTGAGCCAGGATGGGAAGGCGTGCCCGCAGCTGGCGCACACTGACTGCAACGATGTGAAAGTCAGGGGCCAGTCCAGCAATGAGGCGTGTTGCCAATGCGGAGGTGGAGTTTTGACCCCATCGCCTTTCATCTACCCGAACCGTCGCTGGTCGTTGGACTCCAACATCATCATGCAGCCGGAGCCCCGCACAGCGGACCACTACAGCTTGGACGCCAAGTGCGAACTGCCGATGTACAACCTCACCATGGACTGGGCAATTGCGCCAGTTGACATTGAACATGATCGGAAGACGAACTTACGCCTAAGCAGTAAGCAATACCTCACGATGTATTGGGAACTCAGAATTGCGACTCAACAAATGGAGGGAGGGTTCCTGACTTGTCGGTTTTCATAGTGCTCGTGTTGGCTGACGTCAGTCTTTGTTGCACCGGCCCCAAAACCCCAAATGACTCATAACCGGATAAACATGACAACAAATCGGCGCCATCTCCCAGTTTGCAAGATTCAAGCGCCAGGACAGCTCCACTGGTGTGATTTCCTACATGGAAGGCCGCGCAAAGCCGGTCGAAGCTTTCTCCCTCGAATGCGAAGTCACAGCTCACCAAGAATCCGACGTCACCGACGTGGCCAAGGTCTTGATCGCGGCCAACGAGATCCTTAGTAGTAGAGCATGCAACCTTTAGCCTTCTTGGGGTAGTATATTCCCCTTATAATCCCAAAGGCTAACCTTTAGTTCACCTAGGTGCTGGGCAACCAAGGATCAACTACAAGTCCGCCACCCTCCTCTTCCACGCGGGAACCAGTGAGGCGCCCCTGAAGAAGGGGCCCGGCTGGTCCAAGTTCGAGTTGGGCTGCGCCCCGAAGATCAGTTGGCTCAACATCAGTGACGCAGACGGTGTCTTGAGCTACATCGACCAAACCACAGAGGGAGGCGGTGTCTCGGTCGTGGACGACCAATTCTTCGGCCAGGACGGGGCGGTGTGCGTGGTCACTGCCTGGAAGGCCAACAAGAAGCCCCAAGAACGGAGTTGTTTGGGCCTTCCTCTGTTTTTGTTGTCTGGCTTACCCAAAGGCCCCTGTCGGAAAAATGCCAGGATAGAAGAGATTGCACTTCGTTGCTGCACCTTCAAAATCCCCGAAGAGCTAGTCGGCTGCCAGTCTCCATGGAATTCCAGAGGTACGAGACGTCTTTCGTCGCTCTCCGTCCCCGTCCATGGACGACGCTGGAGTGCCCCTGCCTCTTCTCTAGCTGTTTGTTGCCCGGTGTGGAGCCAATTTTAAGCATAGGGTAAATCTTTCGATAAAAATTGTGATATGTTGCGATTATGATTCTGAGTGGAATCAATGGAACACAAGACTCACAAGCAGACTACGCCGTTGAAAGCTTTTCAAGCAGAGATGGGGGAAGGACTGGCGGGCGCTGCTTGAGCCGGCTTGTCTCCCGGACAGGAACAGACGACCTCAAACTATGTTCGGCCCGCAATGATACCTTGAAATAGACCTGGATTCAATGGCCGGAGCTCTGCCCGAAAAGGAGGTGCCACGTCATTCCCCATCGCTTAACCCTGGGCGCATTGGAGTGTTGGTCCCGCCAACTCACTGTATTGCACTTTGCAACTTGTTGTGAACAGCAGCATGGCCGGGCCCGCACGTTTTTGCCCGTCTCTTCCTGAATAGTTCTCCATGACATATGAGGTTCTGTGAGTTTCCGCTCGACCTTGGGAAGTGTGCGGGATGTGTATAGCATTGTTGAACTCGGAGCATCGTTCCCCTCGGTCCGGCCCGGCGTGCAAAGGCTGTGGGGTGCAGGGTTTTAGGGTCGTTCCACCCTTAAGCCCTAAACCCTCAACCCCAAACCCCAAACCCTAAACAGGCAAGGTTGTTTTGGGAGGGTCAGCGGGTCAGTAGGAGGTCCATAGTCGACTCGGCAGCCTGGACTGGAGATTCCATTCGTCACAGGCTGCCTAAACCGTGAACCCCAAACCCTAAAGTTATCCAAACCCTAAACCCTAAACCGTAAACCCTAAACCCTAAACCCTAAGCCCTTAACCCTTAACCCTAAACCCTAAACCCTAAACTACCCTAAACCCTAAACCCTAAACCCTAAACCCTAAAGCTAAAGCAGGGCAATAAGGCAGTAGGGCTTTTCAGGCTCCTGCGGCAAGGGGAAAAGAGGATCTATCTTCGACGCAAAGCATGTTAAAAAGGGTTGGCCTGAAACGAATCGCGGACTACGTTGCATTACCTGGCTGAGGTTGGGTTTAGTTTAGATACCAAGATGTTTGCGAACCACCCCCCCCCCATTTACAGTCAGAGTTCGTTTCGTGAATTGCGATGCTTTCCCTGCTCTTCGTGCCCAAAGAAGTTCAAGAACAGCAAAAGTTCCATGCCAATGTCTCCCGAAATTTTTCCCAAGCAAATTCCCAGTGCGTGAATTCCCAGTGCGTGAATATTTCCGTTCTCCATTGAGAAGCCCGAAGTCTAGGGAAGGGATTAGAGGAATCGGGGGGTGGTTACGGCAACCTCTGACGCCTCAGGGCCGGCACCGAGGGTGCGAGTTTTGTCAGAGAAAGGTCACCTTTATGCTGACAGGGCTTTCCTTATTTACTAGGGATTCTAGAGTGCCCCCTACTATAATCCCGATGAAGGACTGTTAGTTTCAGGGGGGGACATCCCGAGTCACAGGTCTTATTTGCAAGAGGTATCCATGACGCGAAGCTTGCCAACTACCCTGGGTCTAGGGTTTAGGGTTTAGGGTTTAGGGTTTTCCTGTACTATATACAGATGAGCATAGCCTAGCTTCATTTGACCTCGTTACAACTCATGTCAGGTACGATGCCTCGACGGTGTCAGCGACCATCGGTGAAGAGCTCCCGCCCCTGAGCCCTAAGCCACACAAGGATCTGGGCCTGATGAAGCCCCGGAAGCTTGGATGAGACTACGTGGTATACTATCTAGTACTATATACTAGACAAAATGTAGGCTGTTTCGTAGGTAGTGTCGTGTCCCCCAAGCCTGCAGAGCCCTTAATGCCTTTTAAATGGTGTTTTCAAAGCTTGATATTGGCCTTCGTTTTTTTACATTTTCAAGCATGTTGACGAAATCATATTTCAACAGGTTTTTCACTGGGAACGCGCGGCACGTGTTCCAGCTTCCGTATTCAGTAAAAGCCGCTGCACGTTGAGCCGTCATATCAAGCCCTGATCATGAGCTTGCATCGTTTCAATCTGTTCTTGTTTTGAAACAGGTGTTCCAGCTTGTGCATTATAGGCGACATCTTAAGCCAGCGGCTATTTGTCAGGCAGGTGTTGATTCTTCTGATGTGCCTGCAAGGTTGGTCTTATGCGGGCTTGCCGTAGACGGTGCCCTTAAACGTGCCCTTAAACTGGCGCCCTAAATTCTGAAGAGAAGATCCAATTGACTTCGAGGTCCTCAGGCACTACGGGCGAAGCCTCCCGCACTAGGTGTTCAGGAAGGTGCCCTACAATGCTTCATTGAGAGCTGCAATGACCGCTTCAAGGGCGGCTTTACGGGCGGCTTCTCGTGCGGAGTTTACGGGCAGCTTTGTGGGCGGCATTACGGGCGGACTTTAAGGGCGGCTTTACGGGCGGCTTTATGGGCGGACTTTACGGGCGGACTTTACGGGCGGAGGTTACGGGCGGGTGGTTTGGCTGGCGGGTGTGGCCGGATGACCTCCAGTCAGGACGGAGGCTGCTGGGCGCATGGGCCGTTTTTGATCTCGATGTATCTCCTGCAAAGTAAATTTTCGAAAAAAATGAGGAAAATTAGAGGCGCATATGCTCTGCAGGGCTGGGGTAGATGAGTAGTGTACTCTCCTGTACGAGGTGGACGGCCTACCTCTAATGGCTACGCTACCATCACGACCTCCCCCCCACAGTTGATGCCTTCGCTATGCTCCATGAGTACAACTTTTTATGATGCCCTAAACCCCAAACCCCAAACCCCAAACCCTGAAGTGGAGAGTCCGGATCATGTGTCGGCTGAGGATGTACAGCATGGCTTGCAGCGTGGCCGGAGGAGATCCCACTACAAAGTTCACGTATGACCGCCTTCTGAGCATGGGCCGCTCGGCAACACGGGGTTTAGGGTTTAGGGTTTAGGGTTTAGGGTTTAGGGTACCCTAAACCCTAAACCCTAAACCCTAAACCCTAAACCCTAAACCCTAAACCCTAAACCCTAAACCCTAAACCCTAAACCCTAAACCCTAAACCTACGGAACACCCGGCAGTCTCGGAGTGACGGCTACTTAGTTGTTTTTTGTAGGCTAGTAGTTAGCTAGTTAGCTGAGAAGCTAAAAGTTAACTTGCTCAATGTATACCAGTTCTACAGCTAGATGGAGTAGATGTTTTCATGCACCTACCACATCCTACCACTTGTCTACAACTATTTTGCAAAGCCCGCGACTCCTTAGTCGAAGTCGTGGTAGTGGTTCTGGTCCTAGCAGTTCGAATCCAGTAGCAGTAGCAGTAGTCACATGTAAAAGTCGCTGTTGAACAGGTAAGCAGGAGGAGTCCTAGACGAATCATAACTGAAGCAGTAGTTGGAGGCGCAGCAGTGGTAATGGTAAGTACTGCTATTTGCTTAAGAACTCCAAAAGAATAACAAATAATCCCTATATTACCCTTATAAGGGAGAATGTTTTTTTACTTCTTGGAGGGGTTCTTAAGCAACTAGTAGGGTAGCAGCAGTGGCTCATACAAGCAAAAGAGCTGCAGGACTGCTTGCTGGGCAGCCCTTGCTTGAGATCAGCCCGGAGGGAGTCATCACTGTGGCGCCTGCCAACTCCTTGAGCAACTCAGACTTTCCGAGGGGAGAAGAAATCGTGTTTTGTTTTCAAAGCCTGAGCCGTTTTTGGCACACCTGCAGTCAGCCTCACGAGACGGAATAGCTGCTTTTGGGACATCACGTCACGAGCCAGGAGATATACCATCAAAGCATGGGACAACAGTCGAGGCAAGCGGCATAGCCTGGGCATTTGATACGATAGGATAAAAGTGCGGTAAGTGAAAGCATGGAAAACGACAGGGGGACGCGCTCATTCAAAAACAGACAAGGCTTAAACAAGGACACGCGCCTGTTAGCCGCCACTGACCGTTTGCACCGGGCGTGTCCTTAAACAAGTGATGTTGACGCCGACTCAATGTGTCGAATACGCTCAGCAGCGACACGATGCTTGGCCAAGGTTTGTAGAAAGACATCTTAGAAACCTGCGAACAGCTACTCCAAGAGTCATCTCACGAGCACAAGTCCCTGGAAACAAGCCATATGTCGCCACAAATTCAACCGCAAGTGCCACCCGCGCGGTCCTCTCCAGTGTATGCTTCGTCTCCCACTTCCATCGGCCATCATGAATAAACGCCGAAAGTGCATCATTCGAGATAGGAGCCTTCCTTTTTCTTTTCAATACCACCGTTTACCAGTTGAAGGGGAGGACCAAGAACACCGTGGCAAAAGACCACTCTTCGGAAGACTGCCAGGAGTAGTGGACACTCTGCTGAGCTTCGGTGCCTCTGCCATGAGGCCACATCGGGTGATGGATATAGGCGTCGGAATAATTGCCAATCATATTCCCTTATGGGGTCCCTTTAAAATTTATTATAAATACCCCAAGACCCTATTCTAACTATTCAGCCCCCTATATTAGCGTTGCGGAACGGCGCTCTCAGGCGAGGTCTTCAATACCCTGCACGTCAACGGAACTCAACGCAAGGCAGACGATGGTTCAGGTTTTAGGGTTTAGGGTTTGGGGTTTGGGGTTTAGGGTGCAGGTTTGTGCGGGCAATGAATTGGTTTGCGGAAAAGCCTGAAGAGCTTCCAGATGGATCATTCTCAAGAGCTCTGTCAACCACCGTAGGAGTGGACACCGCTAGGTCAGCATTTGCATGGGGCGTACAAACAGGTTCGGCAGAAGTTGTCATTCTGAATAGTTATGTCATTCTGAATAGTTACAACATGATGGATTACTCCCAGGGTCCGTTTAAAGTTTGATCTCAAATCAGCTGCGATACACCAGGCCGCAACCGCAAGACTGAAGGTGCTTGTCGGGGGTTCTTCAAAGGAGCGTTTCAACGACCTTCGACGTAAGTGCCGGAATTGGACGCGGTGTCCCCTGTATGTCGTGTCTTGCGTGTCGGCCGCTTCTGTATTTAGAAGTTAGAGGGTAGCTCAGTGGTACGCTTTTGCCCTTATTTTGGTAGTAACCAAACCCAACACAAGGCACCCTTGTTCTTATACGTTTACGTGCGAAGAATGTTGAAACTACACAGACTGATCCCTGATGCACCCGAGACCCTGGAGAGGCGTTTACTCTGGGCTGCCGGGTCTTTGGCCTCTTCCCAGATGCCTCGTTGCCTCCTGTGGCTGTGACAAGCAAAACTGAGGGAACTCGGGTCTGCTCTGCATACGTGCTGTGATGGTTTCCACAGCTCTTCATGTCAGCCTCGTACTATTTCATGGCCGAGGGACGCATAGGGACAATGCCCAGCATCGTAGAGTACGAAACTGCAAATCCTGGAAGCTGTGCCAAGCTAGAAGCAACGTTGACCATTCAGGTCCGTGACACCGTATGTTGGGTCTCACAGACTGTCAAGGCCAAGCCCGAAGAGAGCGTTCCTCGAGGGTATCAGAGAGGTCATGATGATGACAGTCCTGCGGCCCAGGGAGCATCTCGAGTCTCTGTCCAGTGTGTTGGAGTCTTCGTACTGCTGGGAGGGAGACTCCTTTGACGTTCGGTGCCAGGCTTTTGTTTTTCAGGTGTTTGAGGGCATTTTGGTGCTGGCGTTGAGGTGGTTTCATGTGGCGTCCGCAAGACATTCTGCCAGCGCGCGCGATCCGGCGAGTTACATGATTTGTTGACTCTCGTTCCATCTCCTTTGCTCCCGGTCATGGATTCAATAAATCCTTATTGAACCCCGTACATTCATTCAGATGCATGCAGGCCATCGCCGTCCCCGACCATGCTGCCACTTCCGAGGCGCAGAAAGCATGTCCTTTTGGTTTCGAATGTCACTTGAGATCTCTTCGTTGAAGCTCCTACACTTGAACAAGCTGTCAAAAGAGCCCATAGCAGTGATCATTGCAAAGGCCTTATGCCGTGCACGTTGTCGCGATGACAGCAAGTGCGCCAGCTATCAGTTCGCTGCAGACGCTACCCAGAACGTTACGGAGTGCAGGAGGCCGGTTGGGGCTCTTTCATGTGCGGCTCCTGGCTTGATTATCTTGCTGCATGCTTATCATGTCGTGTACTTTTGCATAATACCTACTAGAGTAACTGTAATGCACGATAATATACTATGTAATATCTTTGGCTCCATCTTGCTACAACATACTAGAACATACGGCTGACAGTCACATAACATGCTATAAAGCACGATCACGCACCGTCACATACAATCACCTTCTACAATATAGCATACTTCATACTCTTTCCCACTTTGTATAATTACTATAGTAGTTTTTGCAGCACTTAAGGAAGGCCCCCAGCAGGTATGATGTTCGCGCCGATGGGAGCCCGGCGACCGTCATGGCCAAGATCACCAATTGTACGGACGAGGGCACGTGCAGCTCGTCTGAAGGGTACTCGAAGGATCAGGGTACAGAGTAACCGATTATAACTGTACTTATAATAACCCAAATTATAAGCATATTAGGCCACTTAAGGGGCTTTTTACGTGGGTGATAAGTACAGTTATGATTGGTTAATCAATAAGTGTACCCTCATCCTCCAAGTAACTCTAAGCTGGCACTCTGCGAAGTGTGGGAGAGCAACCTGTCTTGTTTCTTCGGATGCTGCAGGTGTTCACGTGTCACACTCTGATTGGTATTTGGCCGGCCAGTACTGCCCGGTCGGCAGAGATGCAGTGGGCGGTGGGATCATCTACCTGCGCGAACATGTGACGCCAGAGGCCTGTACCCCAGTCCCTGGGAAAAGCCAGTGCCTGTCTGAATGATCATGGCGCATTGGAATTTCCCAACGGAAACACGAGAAAGTGTTCTTGAACAGTAGCGTGGTTCATGGATGCCGCAGGATCGGGTGTATATGCGTGACGCGCCCCTTGAATGTGGGGCCGGCAAGTCAGCCTTGCTTGCGACGTCGGGCCACGACTTCATCAACAAGGCCCGGGGCATGCTTGCAGCAAGCAGCCTGGTGCAGACAGAGCTCCTGGCTTACCCCTAAACCCTAAACCCTAAACCCTAAACCCTAAACCCTAAACGCTAAACCGTAAACCCTAAACCCTAGACCCTAGACCCTAGACCCTAAACCCTAAACCCTAAACCCTAAACCCTAAACCCTAAACCCCTCTTGTTTGTCAGAGGAGCTGGGCCTCTTCGAGCTCCGTGGCACACGGTACGCGTGTGTGGAGAGCAACTCTGTCAATTACTCCCCGAACCCGCGCCCAAGCCGAGACAGTTCAGAGGGCTCTATTTCCATAAACATATGTATTCACATACTTATAGACATATATACATATTAATACATGCATATATACATACATATACATACATATAGACATATAGACATATAGACATATAGACATATATACACATATACACATATACATATATACATATATACATATATACATATATACATATATATATATATGCACATACATGTATATATGTATATATATATATATGTATGTTATACTTTTATTATGTACAGTATATAAATCTAGAAACAAATATGTATTAACAGATATATATATATATATAGATATGCTACCCCCCCCCCCCCCCATGCGCCCTCGCTTCAGTATGGTTTCCAGATAAAAACACTACATTCCGCCATGCGCGGTGGTTTTTAAAGGGGGGAGGGACTCCCATAAAAACTCCAGGAACAATTTGCTCGAGATTGTGGATTGCGAACTATGAATTTAAATAGAAATCCTATGCATGTGAATAGCGTTCCTATCAAACTTAATGGGGTTCAAAGGATTCATTTTGTTTTAATAGGAATCCTTTTAAAATGAAAAGGAAACCCTTTAACATGAATGAGAACCCTTAATTCTATTAACCCTATTCAAATGACAGAATCCTATTTAAAATTGATAGGAATCATATTACATTTGTAGGAGCCTTATTAAAATAATTAGGCAAACTATGAAAACTTATTGGAATCTTATAAACAGAAAAATAGGAATCCGAACCCTATTAAAATTGATCGGACTGTATAAAAAGTTAATCGGAAGCCTATTAACATGAATAGGAACCCGATCAGAGCCTAAAAATTGATCGGACTGTATAAAAAGTTAATAGGAAGCCTATTAACATGAATAGGAACCCGATCAGAGCCTTATTAAAATATTTAGGAACCCTATGAAACTTTACTGGCATCCTCTGAAAATAAGTATGAATCTTTCATTGAATTCATAGGAATCCGATCAAATTGTTTCCGGATAGCAGCTAATAGGAAGCCTATTAGAATGAACCTTAACAAATAAAAAAGAATGCGATGGTAATTCATAGGAATCTTACTAGAATGAGAAGGATTCTTATGAAGATTAATGGGAACTAATAGGGCTCCTATGAAGAAAATAAGATTCCTTTAACAAGAATGAATAGGAATCCTACTAAATGAATATGAGCCTAAACCAATACGAATCCCTTTCAAACGAATGAGATCCCTATTAAAATTAATACGAATCCCATTAACATGAATAAGGACCCTAAAATTGATAGGAATCTTGTTACATTAGTAGGAGCCTTATTAGAATAATTAGGAACCCTATGAAACTTTATTGGAATCCTATAAAAACAAATAGGAATCCTCTATTGAAGTCATAGGAATCCTGCCAAGATTTTTCGGAACCGATAAAAGTTAATAGGAAGCCTATTAAAATGAATAGGAACCCTTTCCAAATTGAAAAGAACCGGTTATAATTCATAGGAATCCTGTTAGAATGAGAAGGAATCTTACTAAAATGACAAGGAACCAATAGGACTCCTGTACAACATAATGTGAATCCGCTTAAAAGATTTGTTTTTGGGATGGGACTGCAAAAATGCCGTACTGTCCCAAAAAAACAATCTTTTTAGAGCAAAAAATGCAAAAATGCTGTACTGTCCCAAAAAAACAAAAAAACCAAAGTTTGGAGAGCTTGGGCTCCTCCAGGGCCTGGAGGTCTCCAAACTTTGGTTTTTTTGGTTTTTTTGGGACAGTGCAGCATTTTTGCTCGTTTTGGCTTAAAAAGATTGTTTTTTTTGGGACAGTACGGCATTTTTGCAGTCCCAGGCCTCCAAAGTGCTGTACTGTCCCAAAAAATCCAATCTTTTTAGAGCAAAAAATGCCAAAATGCTGTACTGTCCCAAAAAAAACAAAAAACCAAAGTTTGGAGAGGTTGGGCTCCTCCAGGGCCTGGAGGTCTCCAAACTTTGGTTTTTTTGGGACAGTACAGCAGTTTTACTTGTTTTCGCTTAAAAAGATTTGTTTTTTTGGGACAGTACAGCGTTTTCGCTCTTTTGAGCCTGAAACATTAGTACAGTAGAGGGCTTTCGTGCTGCCCGAGGAGGCTTCGAAACCCTAAGCCTCTGAAACCCTACCATGGCACCTGAGAGGAAAAAGTGTGGGCACATGAGGAGGGGAACCGTATATATATATATATATATATATATAGAAATGTATGTCTGTATGTATGTATGTAGTATGTATGTATGTTTGTTTGTTTGTTTGTATGTATGCTGTATGTATGTATGTATGGTAAAATATGTATATCAAATATATGTATATATATATACATATGTATGTAAACAAAACATTTTTCATTTACATTAATTGTAATCTAGCTACATTATGGTATATACGAGATCGTCGTATACTACAACGTACCTTCGTAGTTACGACCTTCAAAATTTTTCTCAGGTGTTCGACAGCCGACCTTGCTTGGGTCGAGGAGCAGGCCAGGGGACTTGCGATCGCCAACAAAGACGCGGAAATTTTGCCAGAGTCGGGAGATTGGTCGATAGCACATGCGATTTCGCCATTGCGCGGCCATCAGAAGACAGCTGGTAGACTTGTCAGACAGAGGGACCTTGCAAAGGGTTCCCGTCTATGAGTCGGGACGCGCTACGGGATGAGACGCGGGCGGGGCGGAAGCTTCTCGGGCTCCCCTCCCTCCCTAGAGTCCTAGAGGTCACCCGTCAAGAAGATATTATAGGGGCCTGAAGAAGCAGAATAGGGTTTTGAGGGTTATTCTAGTATAATTACATAGGGACCATAAGGGAATATTATCCATAATTATTCCAACCCCTATATTAGTCTGTCACAGATTCTTTGCATTGATGTGGTTCGTGCATTTGGCCAGCGAGCTCGGGAAGGAGCAGAACGAAGAGGGTGTGCCGGCGCTGGTGTTTGACGACCCCGGTACCGCAGAGCCTCAGGACTTTTGGCTTCACCCTTGCGATTGCTTCATGGTTGCAGTGGCCGCGCCACACTATTCTTGCCAGATGCCAGGTTGCGCTTACGAGCTGTAGCACGAAGGTACTCGTTGGTGGCGCTACTACTGGTAGTTCTTCTTGTTACCCGCTGGCAGTGAACTGCTCGTTTTGCACCCGTTTCTGCCGTGGCCTGAACTTGCATTTGCCTGTGGGTCATTTGGATTGTGTGGTTTCATTGCGGCTCAATAGTTTGGTGTTTGTGATGGTCCTGGCATTGTTGTGGTCACGATCCCGGTGATGCAAACGTGGCCATCAAAATTAGTGAGCCTCATGCAACTTGTCTGACTTGTCATGATTATGAGAAAGCTTGAATGATGATAATGATGATGATGATGAGGATGATGGTGATGACGGCCACGAGTGCCGATGACCACAGGGGCGGCCAATGAGTGCCAGAATAATGATTGGACGGTCTACGTCGGAGCGAAATGTCATTTTGGGATACACCCTGAGCCCTTAGCCAAAGCCTGTAACCCCTAAACCCTGAAACTCCAACCCCCGAACGCACCATGCCACCCCCCTCATCTCCTCTGAGTCCCTAAACCTTAAACCCCAAAACCTCAAACCCTAAAAACCTTCACGCCCTCCGACTCTGAAACCTCAGCCTCAAGCCCTAAGCCTCAAGCCCCGGTGGGTCTATGAGATGACGACTAGGGCGCCATGTGGAGGGTGTAGCAACCCTGAACCTTAGACCCTGAACCCGGAACCTTAAGGGAATTCCTCAAAGAAACGACTCGCGGCTAGTGTATATTCATCTAGGACCCAGAACAGGCCCTTATTCCCCTGTCTAGGGTGTAGGTTCTCTTATAAGCCCCTTTAACACAAAAAGGGCACCCTGTTAATTCCTAGGTTACTCCTGGGTCTAGTCACGGTGTGATTGCGCATAGCACCTGGTTGCCCAGGTGCTCCGCCCGCATGGGGCACGAACTTCCCAGTGGATCCAACCATGTTCGAAAACCTTCCAGCCCCTCGGCTGCAGGGTTTTGGGTTTCGGGTTTAGGGTTTAGGGTTCAGGGTTTACGATATCAGGGGGTAGCTTACTAGGGTCCTCATTATATACGGATCCTACTATTTGGGGGTCTATATTCGGGGTCCCTTACTATCGTAAACCCCCATTCGTGATTCAGACGTGGGGCTTCCGCTCGAAGCCCTGAGCTTGAGGACATAGTCCGAGTATACACTGTATTCGAGTATAGTATATGTCAAGGCTATAGCGTACTAGTCTATGGCCATAGGGTGTAAGATTTCAGGTCGGCCTTCCCAGTCAAATACCTTTCTTGCTGGTGTTCACGCCTCTGCCGAACCCTGTCCATTACCGACGGGTGCAAAGCACGACCGATGGCTATTGCGGGAGTTAGTATTCAGGAGCATTTAGTCATTTCGAACAACAGAACAAGCATAGGTTCACTTCAAATTTCAATTTCAGATCCTTTCGCAGTATTGATTTGCGAGCGTTTGTAAACATAGAACCGGAGAGTGAGTCTACCGTCCCAACAGGATTCGATATCTTCCCCGTACACGCACGTATGTATATGTATGTATATATATATATATGCACATGAAAGAGAGCGAGATGCGCGAAAGGCCAGCATTTTGCAGACAAAGGCAGGTTTACATCATGTTTCGCTGGTCTGCAAAATAGTTGTATCTCGCGAGAGTTGTAGCTATAGTTGCGAACCTGCAATCCAAAAGCCTCTACATTCGTCAATGTGCTTCGGAGAGATGGGGCAGACCCCAGCGACAGGGATAAGACCTGTCAGGGTTTTATGGTTTTCGGCGTGTAAGGTTTAAAGGCGGTGTTCCTTCAGATGTTTCGGCTACGACCTCAGTCCGTTCAGATGCGTTCCAGACCGAGATCCTGACAGTTTTGAAAGATTCCCCTGCATTTGCATCTTTTCCCTAACCCGTATCGCCTCGATAGCTTCTTGAATCTGACATTGACCTCAAAACCCCAAACCGGATAGGGTTTGGGGTTTCGGGTTTAGGGTTTAGGGTTTAGGGTTTAGGCAAGCAGTTTTGCCGGAATCGCTCGTCTGGACAAAAGGCCAGAAAGAACTGAGCCATTGCTCAGGCGAACAGCAGCAACGTCTACATTCCCCTCCCTTTCAGCATCTTGGTAGCCCAGATGGTACCCTTTTCCCTTTTTGTTGGTTCAAGGTTCCCTTCTAAACGGTTTAGGGTTTTGGGTTACTGGGCTACTAAGGCATCGTCACGGGGCAGCTGGTGTGCCCGTCGCGGCAGCTTTTGGAAGGCCTGCTGGATGGTGTCGAGTGCTCAGCATCCATCACCTGGAGAGCCCAAGACCCCACGGTTTAGGGTTTAGGGTTTAGGGTTCAGGGTTAGGAGGGGTCCGGGTTTTTTTTTTTGCAAAGGTGTGGCTCGGCCCTGTCCCCTTGCAAAGGTGTGGCTTGGCTTGGCTTGGCTTGGCTTGGCTGGGCGTGTCCTCTGACCTGGCTTGGCTCGGCTTGTCTGGCTTGGCTTGGCTTTGGTTGGCTTGGCTCGGCTTGGCTTGGCTTGGCTCGGCTGGGCTTGGCTTGGCTTGGCTCGGCTTGTCCTCTGGCTTGGCTTGGCTCGGCTTGGCTTTCGTTGGCTTGGCTCCTTGGCTTGGCTTGGCTCGGGTGGGCTCGGCTCGGCTTGGCTTGGCCTGGCTGGCTTGGCTTGGCTTGGCTCGGCGTGGCTTGGCTCGGCTTGGCTCGGCTTGGCCTGGCTTGGGTGCCGACTTCGTTTTGATTTCCCTGTTCTCCCCAGTCGCAAAGATTCTTTTTACCGCGATGTAGCTGTAGCTGGTAGAAATACGTGGAGTGTATATATGTAGTATGCGCAAGCATTGAGTTTGCAAATGGCTGCGCCCCCCCAACCCCCCCGCTTTTTTAAGCCGTGCAAGCTTGCGTCAAAGCATATGAGTCTTGTTGAAACCCATGATGCAAGCATTGAGTTTGCAAATGGGGGGGGCTGCGCCCCCCCAACCCCCCCGCTTTTTTTGAGCCGTGCAAGCTTGCGTCAAAGCATATGATTCTTGTTGAAACCCATGATGCAAGCATTGAGTTTGCAAATGGGGGGGGCTGCGCCCCCCCCAACCCCCCCGCTTTTTTTGAGCCGTGCAAGCTTGCGTCAAAGCATATGATTCTTGTTGAAACCCATGATGCAAGCATTGAGTTTGCAAATGGGGGGGGCTGCGCCCCCCCCAACCCCCCCGCTTTTTTAAGCCGTGCAAGCTTGCGTCAAAGCATATGAGTCTTGTTGAAACCCATGATGCAAGCATTAAGTTTGCAAATGGCCCCCCCGGTGTTGGAACCCATGATGCAAGCATTGAGTTTGCAAATGGGGGGGGGTGCGCCCCCCCCAACCCCCCCGCTTTTTTAAGCCGTGCAAGCTTGCATCAAAGCATAAGAGTCTTTTTGAAACCCATGATGCAAGCATTGAGTTTTCAAATGGGGGGGGGCTGCGCCCCCCCCAACCCCCCGCTTCTGAAAGCCGTGCAAGCTTGTTTCAAAGCATATGAGTTTTTTTGAAACCTAGAGGCAAGCATTGAGTTTGCAAATAAGGGGGAGGGAGTCGGGGTGGTGAGAGTGGGGGGTGGGGGGGAGTGGGGAGGGGGGTGGGGGGGGGGGGGGGGGGGGGGGGGGGGGGGGGGGTGGGGGGTGGGGGGGGGTGGGGGGGGGTGGGGGGGGGTGGGGGGGGGTGGAGGGGGGTGGGGGGGTGGGGGGGGTGGGGGGGGTGGGGGGGTGGGCCCCTCCGCCGGTTAGGAGTATACGTTATATACCTTGAACTATACAGCGAACCTTTTTATGTTTTAAGTTATCTTCCTTAATTAACGGGCGCTGGACTCTTTGGGCAAGAAAGACGATAAAGACGGCAGACGTAGAAGCCCGACAGGTTTGCTTTCACAAGCAGCAGACCCTTCTTAAAGTTCTATAGGCTTGCCACCTAGGGTTAAGCAGGGTCCATGACTCCATGTCGAAAACTCCCGGCATCGACTACTGTCCTCATTTGTTGAGGGTAAAGGGCTAAGGGTTGAGGGTTTAGGGTTGGGATGTTCCTGTATGAGCCTAGTATAAATTATAATCCCTATTCAGGACTGTTAGTAAAAGGGGGAACATCCCAAGTTTAGGGTTTAGAGGTTTTTGGCTTCAGCCATTGAATTGTCTCGAAAATGGGGGAATGAAATGGATCTGGATGTGCATCTCGTGCTGCGTGGTCCGAGGGGTGGGGGAGCAGGGGCCCCGATCAAAAAGGCCGTGCGTTTTCCGCGCATGTGCGGGTTGAAATGCCACCGCTTGGGTTGCAGCGCTTGGGCTCATTGGGGATGTATTACCTCTCATGAGCTCACAGAAGATTGTCCGCAGCCCGGAAAGAATGCGCCATGAGAAAGCTAAGTCTCGGAGATTCTAGACATGAGTGCCCCTCAATAGAACCCCCCCTCCTCCCCCCGGGTTTAGGGACGAGCACCATAGCAGGTGCCGTGGGCGTCCACTTCCAGTCCGAAGAGGAGGCCTCAACTGGAGCTTTGAACTTCCTCTGCTTGTCGCAAGTTGCAAAGGGCCAGACGAATCCGAACCCACGAATTTGCTATGAATGTGCTCCAGTTTCAAGCATCTGCAGGCATTGGAGCGTTCCGACTGCGAAGCTCGCTGCCGCGAGCAAGAAGCCTGCGCTTTCTTCTGGCATCTCTGGCTTTGATGGATTGCATTGGTGGGCTCAGGATTTTTTTTCTCTGGGAATTGGAATGGGAAACACTCAGAGATATCACATGCATTGTTTGCAATGAGATGCCACAGTAGGTCCGGCGGATCATAGCGATAAGCACAAGAACCGGGCGACGACGATGTGGCTACACGCCCCAGAACGAGGCGACCATGACACACACTGCCGAGAACTAGGCGACCAGATGCCACACACACACACTTCCAAGAGCCCATAGCGGTATGTAAGGTTCCAAACCAGGCGACCACGACGCCACGTACACTTCCAAGAACCAGCCACGATGGTAGGTAGGTACACTTCCAAGAGCGGTGGCCACGACGGCAGCCCTTCCAAAAGTCGGGCGACTACAACGGCGGGTAATTTTTCTTCAAGACCCTCAAAAGACCAAGCGACTACTTTTGCCCGACGGTAGATACACTTCCTGCTGCTGCTCTTGCTACTGCTCTTGCTACTGCTTTTGCTACTGCTGCTGCTACTGCTGCTCCTTGTGAAGCCAGGCAACACTCAAACTTGGAACAGCCTAATCGCACACGTTTGGTTTTCAGAGCCTACGTGAGTCCACGCTCAGGCATGATGCTGCATGGCCAAGTTATAGCTACGGTAACATGCTGCGTGTATGTCTGCTCTTGGGCCTTGGTCTACGTAGCCTGCTGTTCTTGTAGGGTCATAATGGTTTGTCGTGCGCTGGCCAGCTTGTGGATTCGTTGGTGTCGGGTGTTCGCTTTCGGTGAGGGCTGGCGCCCCTTCGGCCGCAGTCGATGTATCTCTCTGTTCTTTTGCGGGGGAGGTTCTGGCCCACGTGTACTTTCATGTACCTCGTCCATGTAATCAACCAGCTCGGAAATGAGAGCGCTCATGGCCATGGCCGGTCTCCGAAAATTGAGTCAGCGGAACGGAAACATCCGAAATGTCCGAAAATGAAGCGGCTAGATGGGCGGGGCAAACCAGGAAAAAGGACATTTTGCGCATCCGGAAGCGACGGCCTTCCCTACCATGGTAGGAGCAGCAGCACCAGCGCCAGCACCCAGCACCAGCGCCAGCCGCAGCAGCGGCGGCAGCAGCAGCAGCGGCACCACCGGCACCGGCGGCACCGCCACCGGCACCGGCACCGGGCCAGACGTTCCGGAGGAAGCCTTCATCACTGGCGAGCGCTATGACTATGTGGGCTTCGATGGTGAAGGAAGACAACATCCACGTCGCATTCGAGCCATGGTGGCGCACTTGCACGTTGCTTTGGGGGTTTGTGCAGCTGGCAGCAACAGGAGTAGGAGTAGGAGTAGGAGCAGCAGCAGTAGGAGTAGGAGTAGGAGTGGCAGTGACAGTGGCAGTGACAGCAGGAGTAGCGTTAGCGATAGCAGTACCTGTAGCTGCAGCCGTAGCAGCAGCCGTAGGACTAGGAAGAGTAGGAGGAGCAGGAGTAGGAGGAGAAGGAGGAGTAGGGGGAGTTGTGGTGGCTGTTGTGGCTAAGCGTGGTGGCTTGCATGGCTTTTGGAAGCTTTACGGATCATTGAAATACGCCGTGGAGCTTGATTGCAGTTTCGGCGACGACCATGGTCAACCACCACCTTTGCTGCCCTTGCTCCGTGCCACGACCCCTGCCGCTGCCACCGCAACACCCACTACCACCACTCGCGTAAGTACTGTATACTACAACTACCACTACTACCAGTACAACTTCTTAGACTATTGCTATTGTTGACCAGAGTCTTATAATCTTGAAAATGAATACAGCTCTACTCCTTGTTTTTTTTACCCATGTCCGACAGCCCGCAGCGACCTCGTCTGAGGCACGGCACGCAACACGGCGCCACCACTTGCCGCCGCCTGCTTTGAGGGTTGCACCGGTCTTGGGGATTCTTGGGGGGGGGCTTAGTCTAATATGATAGCATACTACAAGGTTGTAGAGATTTAGAAAATTCATAACTTACTTTAGTCTAATGGAAAAAAGACAATTTATTATAGGGGCCACGGGTCGGGGCTCGGTGATGATGATGGTGGTGATGTTGATGCAGCATTTTGGAGCTCGCATGTTGTACTGGGAGGGTTGGGAGAGGTTGCGGATGTCGCGATGATGCATGACCATGTTTTGACGAGCTTTCTTTCAAGACCCCATGAACTTTAGCTAAAGTCTAGGTGTTTTGGTCAAACAAATCCCTCTTACGTGCATATGGTGAGCTCCACAGTCTTGGAAACCTCTGAATGGACGAATCGTGCTGGTAGACCCAGGTCTGCTCAAAAGAAATAGATCGAGAAGTGAAGAGAAGCGCACCTCAATGTGCGGCAAAACGAAAGAGTACAATAAGATAACGACAGCTACTGGGACAGTGGGTTTCCCGCACCGACACTTTTTCTTCCAGTCAGCACGCCCGTAGTACGGGCAACAGGCCCTGTGCCCGGGCCCACCAGCCACGAGTCCCGTTTGTACTTGAGCCGTCATCTACACTGTTGAGTTTGTGGGTTTGCCTTGGAAGCATAGGGTGCAGACAGTTCAGACAGAATTGTCACAAAAAAGACGAATTTTAGATCAACGCATGCGACTGACGCTACTGATACTTGTTCAAGTTGCACACGCAAGACGACCCAAGCTCGTGCTAGCACTGTCGTATCTAGCGACGATGTGCGGGCGTACGCAGAATACCCATGATCATCGATTTGGAAAAATTGTTCGAGATGCGTTCGTGGGAGGCATCCTTCAGTTCCAAGTCATGATGACTATAGTTTTATGGCGGGTTTAGGGTTTAGGGTTTAGGGTTTAGGGTTTAGGGTTATCGCTACGTTGCGAAGCTCCGAGACTGTACAAAGCATCACGAGTAGTGTGCCATTTTGGAACTCAGGTCGAGGCTCTAATCTACTAAACTTCTGATTCCTGGTATACCATAATCTGCAATAGAGTCTACTAGATTCTACTAGACTGTGCAACATACGCTTTAAGCATACTGTAAAATACTACAATTTTCTCTAGCATGCTAATTATAGTCTACTAAAATCCGCTGCTGTCTACTAGAACCGACTCTCGTACGCCAAAGCATGCTATAGTATATTCTGCTGTAGTATGCTACAGGTCTCTTCAGGGGTTGCGACAACCTCGTGCGTGAGTTCAGCTTGGAAGGCGATCTACAGGCCATGCGCACGGGATGTAAGAGTTTAGGGTTTAGGGTTTAGGGTTTCAAAAGAAGTGCGCAAGAGCGCGCAAGGGCGGGCGCAACGGGTATTTGCATGGTCGCTCATCGGAATGAGAATATTGATCAGCTCCCACCTCATAGTCGTGCTCGTACTTTCTGTAGTAGTAAATTACTACAATATACTGTAGTTCACCATAGTATTCTGTAGTGTACTATAGTATCCGACCTTTGGGAGATTTTCATGGTACCCTGAGTGGTGGAACTACTTTATTCTGAACGATACGTCCCCAACAGTGGACACGCTTATGGGGTCTAAAATTTGCAAGGACGGGCCTCCGCAAGCATAAGGGACGCGTGTGTGCGCGCGCATTTGTCTGCAAGTCAAAGTAAATGTTCGTGGGGACGCCGCGAGAAGGACATGTCTTTAATTTGGGTACTAGGAGAGAAGAACGTGCACATGCGCTGCAGCATCACGGCAGCAGCAGAGCAACGCAGCTGCACAGCATTTTATTTGACCCGCGCGTTTGTGTGCACTGACATGCGGATCGAGAAAAAAAGTGTGCGTGTGCAACATTGCTGCAGTTTTCTTGATGCATGGTTCTACGAACATGATTGGGTCCCACGCCAAGGGGCGCCACACAAAGGCAAGCGTGCGCAAAAACCGTTGTGGGACCACGCAGCTACAGAAAGGGCGATATGCTCACAGCACAACCGTGCGACTTGGACGTGGTCTTGTCACCTCTCATTCCACGCCATCTTTAGCCCTTGTGTAAGCTTTCTTGGCGCGCAAAGCTGACTGTTCAGATGGCTGATATCCATGCTACCAGTGCATCCACTGGCCAGAGCATCCACGCCCGCGCGATGAGACCATCCATGGTACCATTGCATCCATTGGCCAGAGCATCCATGCCGCTTGGGACCGTTTTGAGGGTGTCATGCCGCTTGGGACCACGACAGAAAGGGGGGAGGGGGGGATGGCGGGGCGGTGGCGTGCTTGCATGGTTTCTCTACCTGGGCCTCTCCTGCAAAGGCCATGCCGCGAACTCCAAGTTGCGCCATCTCAGACGCAGCAAAGTGCTGGGCAACCACGCTGAGGAGGCGATCCGGAGGGTCCCTGTTAGCAGCGAAGAGAACAATATAACAACGACGGAGAAGGTCTAGCCTCTGTCATATTCTCGTGATCGTCTCTTCTCTCAGTGTTTATTTTTCTCCTGTGGTTTCCGCTACAGGGCTAGTTCTCGTTGAAGGAAGGATGGCACTCCTTTTTCCAAGCGTATACTGTTTTTCCTTTCTATATGAGAATACTAGTTATACTCCAGAGTGGATATATAGAGTACTACGGAGTATATGGAGTATATGATAGGTTTACTTGCTCTGGCAGCTGCGGGTTTTTGAGTCCTGAAGTGCCAGGAGCTTTCTGACGACGGCCTACAGAGCAGGTGGCGAGCTCCCAACCGAGACTGGGACTCCCTCGTTGCCCCCAAAGCCGGCCGATCCACCCGCAGAGGGCATGATTGCCTGGTACAAGAGCGAGGATGCGGGGTCTGTCTGGAACAACGCAGTTTCCCGACACACCAGCAAAGCAGGCAGGTGCGCGAAGGACACCGTTACACGCCGGGTGGCTGCAGGCTATGGCGCTGATCGTCCGGTGACCTACATCCAAGGATCAAAAGACTCCCAGTACAGATTCGGTGGCATCCTCAGGCCCAGCCATACGATCTGCTCCATCACCCGCTACACTCAAGGAGGCGGAGATCGCATCCTTCAGATGGGAAATGATGGGAAGAACTGGCTCCATGGCCACTGGAAGGGAAGCGTCGGCGTCGCCTTCTACAAGGATGCCTGGCTCACGAAAAACGAAAACAACGGTTATCCAAAAGACTCCCTTGACTGGGTAGCTCTTTGCGGCACCAACGGCGCAAGGAGGGCTTACGACTCAAGGACGCCAGAGCCTCAAAACACGGCGATTGCCGGGTCGAACACTCAGTTCAACACGACAGAGGAATCTTGGTAGCTCAGTGGTACCCTTTTGCCCTGTTTTTGGTTACTAGGTTCCCTTATAAACCAACCCAAAAGGGTACCCTTATTGTGAGATACTGGAGTACCAAAAGGAGCTTTGGATCAATAAAAACATCGGTGGCCTGACCGACTGGGCAGTCATGGAGATCATCACCTGGGAACGGGTCTTGTCTGAGGACGAGATGCTGGCCAGCCTGGCATACCTAAAATGGAAGCTGCGAGCCGGTTCCGCCTTGGAGCTCGCAGAGCACCTTGCCACCGACACCGAGAACAACTTCGCAGCTTTCGGCAAGCAGGACCGATCGGGCACGGCGTCGGAATCCTTCCAAGCCACTCAGGCTGAAGACTTGATAAGACTTGTCTCCTGCGTGGGTTTCTTCCTTCCGGCGGTCTTCGGTATGCCAGTATGCATGCAACCACAACACAACTGGGCACGCTGCAGCATATGTGACGCTGCCAAGCAACTTATGCAAAACAAAAAAACATTCAGAAGCCCGACGTAGGTCGTACGCTATAGGCTTAGGCCGACCCACCGACTCTCCCCCGCCCCCCCTCCCTAGCTGATAGCTTTCTTGGCAATCGCTGCGTGCTGTTGCGCAGTTTTTGCTGAGGCCACGTTAGCCAATGGCTACAAGGCGGACCTGACGGGATGGACGCACTTGCGCGAATATGCCCGTGGCTTCATCGGGTACGGCAGCGGGGCGGTGGCCAGTGCCGTCATCAAAGGCCTGACACCGGGATCAAAGTATGCCTACAACGTGTACATGCAATCGTGGAATGATGGCTTGATTCACGAGGGCAAAGTCACGGTGAACCATGATTGGCAGTGGGGACGCGCCAGAGTCACAAAGCTGCGCGATGCCAGGTTTGCAGGGGTGGCAGTAGCAACGACCTCTGGCGAGATTGTCTTCAAGTTCACAGGGAAAACAGACCGCGTGCACCTGTCGGGCATCGCGATTGCGCGTGTGGGACCAAGTGCATTGCTCAAGCCCATAGACCCACCCTCAAGTGGTATGGTGGCCTGGTACAAGAGTGAAGATGCCGGCTCTCTTTGGCCCAGTTCAGTGGGAGGCTTCATGGGAAGGGCCATGCACAACGGCGTTTTCCGCAAGGTCAGTGCAGGTTTCGGAGCTGATCGCCCAGTGACTTACATCCAGGGCGACACAAGCAGGGCCTTCCGATTCGACAAGATCTTGACGCCGCTCCACACCGTCTGCTCCGTCACCCGCTATGTTTCGGAAAATCAGAACCGCATCCTTACCGTTGCAAGCCCGAGCGAATGGCTGCATGGCAACCGCAAAGGGTATGTTGGAGTCGCGCGCCACAATGACGTCTGGCTTACAGAGAGCGCTCCAGCGAACAACAGCAACGTAAGGGATTGGGTTGTGATGTGCGGTACCAATGGGGGCAAGCTAGCTTATGACTCGCTCTGGAACTACAAGGAGAACAAGGCAATCCGGACGACGACCTCGCAGCTCCCCACAACCGAAGAGATCTTCGTCAACAAGGGTGATTTTTCCCTCTCCGACTTCGCGGTCATGGAGCTCATCACCTGGGACCGGAAGCTTTCCAAGGCTGAGATGTGGGACAGCATGGAGTACCTGATGTGGAAGCTCCGGGCAGGTGCAGTCCGGGAGGTCTCGGAGCACCTAAGCCCCTTCTCCGAGCGCAACTTCGTCTCCTTTGCCGAGCCTGAGCTAAGCAATGTTCAAGACCAATCCTTTCAGGCCAATTTGGCCAATGGTTACACGGCGACCATGTTGGGTTGGATAAAGACACGTGCTCCGCACGGCTTTGTCCGAAATGCCGACGGGAAAGCAACGGCGGTGGTTAGCGGTCTCAAGCCGGCGGCCATGTACGTCTACCAGCTGCACATGAGGATGACGATTGAGGACAACATGGGTAAGTGCCGCATCGTCTTGAACCACGGACCCATTGCCTTCACCTTTCAGGGAAACGCGATTATTCCGAGGTTTGAAGGCGTGGCAAAGGCAAATCCAAGGGGCGAGCTGCACTTCGAGGCGACTCGCCTACGCAGCAAAATATGTATTGATCACAATGGATAATGATGATTAGTTCACCCCGTAGTAGTACGGTTAAGATTACTTGTCCGGTTTAAGATGATCCTTAGGTTTATTTATATTAGGGCCCATCGGAGTTGTAGGATTAATAGTATTCGTACGAATGACATGAGTAATTTTAACGCTACGTGACCCGCCTCGGCCTGGCCCAGCGCATCCGCGTGAGCATGGTGATTCCGCTGCTGGACCCCAAGCAATACGGGTTGGGTTTAGGGTTTAGGGTTCCGGGTTTAATTGTCTATGGTTTAGGGTTTAGGGTTGAAGGTTAGTTTAGGGGGGGTCTGTTGGGCTTCAACTGCCCCTGGTCCTGGCGAACCGTCCTCGTCCCTTGCGCCCATTCCAGGCAAAAAAAGGGGGCTGACATGTGGCTTTGAGCTTGGGGGAAGGATTTGGAGGGGGGTGCCTGTTCTCACAACCTATACACCTTCGGCCCGAGGCCTCGGCGGATTTGATTAAGATCCTTATTATTATTGAAAACACATATGTTCTTAAGCCATCACGCTCAAGCTGCCGTTCTAGGCAGGCCGTCCCGCAGTCGTGTGATTTTTTGTTGCTGAGTGGTTTCTTTTCGTGCTTTACACCTTGTAGAGAGGGGTTACAGAATTTACAACAGCTGAGTTCGAACGAGAAGATTCACACTGCGTTCTAAGTGGCATTGCTGTCGCTGCAACGAGCGGCCCGGTGGCTTTCTTGGGAGAAGCTACCAGTCTGAGCAGTTCGAGAGCAGCCACCAGGGAAGGAGCTGCAACAGAATTCTTGCAGGGCTTCCGGTACTTGCAATTGTACCAGGATTGCGACACCATCTCGGCGGGGCGGGGGTAGAACAGTGCGGCCGGCCCACTCATCGAAGCGTGGAATCACATGCCTGGCAGCACAAGAGGCGCGGTCTTTCTTGCTCCAGAACAACTATAGGTCAGGAGCCAGCTGCTTATTGCTTATCACACTAAACATAAAGAGAGTCTGATCCAACTCTTCGGCTTGCCAGCTAAAAGAAAGACGAATCATTGCCAGAATTGTCTGGAAGGTTTCCAGAAGAGCATATCCGTTTTTAATAGGAGGGCGCCAAGATCTTTTCAGTAGTGAGAAACAAGGCAATTTGCATCCCTCGCTTATGTGTTCCTACAGCCTCCCATACGTTTTTTTGCTTGCAGTACCCATCTTGCCAGAGCAAGGATGCTGATTGGTGTGAAAAAGTCTTATTCAGAATAGGAAGGACTATAATTTCAAAGTGCTATCTTGAAATGTATCCTTCACACGAGGACATGTGTTGTGACATTCGCGTATTGACAGCAGAATAACATCAGCTTGCCCCTGAGGTTGTTGCCGCCGGCCCTGGAGCACGGGAGTGTGCTGGTGGCTTCCTGCTGGGGTGAACGGTACCGACTTCTGCGACGGAGCAGGGTGGTCCCTTCAGAGCAGCTGCATTGTGTCAACGGCAACTGGTACAATAGCCCCTCGGTGTACACGGAGCATGTCAAACTTGATGGCGCACTGCTGTATCCCTGTAGCTCAAAAGCAGAAGAAAAGTGCCCTGGAAAGCTTCCTTCCACAGTCTCTCGCGCCACTTCCTAGGACCCAGAGCAGCCCCTTCTAAGCCCTTTGAAACCGAAAAGGAAGGGCACGACTTTTTCTCCCAGGATAGTCTTGGGTCCAGCTTGTGAGGCCTGGGCGAGCCGGGCTTGCGCCACATCGGCTGCGAGGCCTGCGTCCAGGTGGCCGCGCGAGGCTATGTCCCTTACGAGCAGCGCAATGAGCAGGAGAGCCACTGAGGGTTATAGGCTTAGGCTGTAGGCTTTCTTAGTAGCTGGGTTAGTAACCCTTTAATCTTTTGGCCGACTATAGTTGAAAGCTTATCCCTTTTGTGCTCAGCAGCTGGGCTTTAAGGTTTAGGCGGGAATGGGGAAAGCTTGCGCGGGCATAGGAAAACACCATGATGAGAAACGTCGTGTCATTGTTTTTCTTGAGCTATGTACAGTTGCAGAAACCTTTTTCCCCCACCCAATATCTACGAACCCCAACTGGCGCGTGCACATGATGCCAGCCCATGTGCGTGAGTTCATCTATAGTCTGTAGGTGACAAGTAGACTGTAGAGTGCACTATCGACCCTCCCCCCCTGCCCCGCTTCCCCCCCGCCCTTGGACCTTTGGCACCAACTCGCCTCGCCCGGTGTCCCGCCCGCCAGCAGATCCCGCCGAGTGGTCCAGGAGCTGCCCCCATACCAGAGAGGGTCGCAAAGCAAAGTATTTACGTGGGCCGTCGAGTATCTTCGACTGCCCAACCCCCCAGTCGAGTGTGCCAGAGAGCCCGCCGCCCTAGTATCCCTGGAGCCCAAACTCAGCAGAGAGACCCGCCAAGTATCCCTGGAGTGACAAAACTCAGACAAGCACAGAGAGTCCCGCCGGGGAGAGTCCCGCCAAGTGTCCCTAGCATGCCACCACCAGAAGCGGCCGCCGAGTATCTTGCCTACCCAGAGAAGATCACAGAGAGTCCCGTGTCCCTGGAGTGCCCACCCCAGCTTCTTGCGAGAGAAGCCTGCGGCGAAGCGATGAAGTATCCGTGCGAAAACGGTAGGGTTCCTACATCGGGAAGCTGTAGGGTTGGGGTGGTCGACGTGTTTTCTGTCTCTGTGGCCAACCCAGCCACGTAGTTTTGCAGTAGTGTTCGTTCCCAGTCCGTGCATCACAGTGTATCACAGTCGTGTTTGATTCAGTTTGATGTTGCAGTGCAGGAACTGTACTTCTTCAACAGCATGGCTTTGAGCATCTACACCGACCTTGGAATGACCGAGGAAAGGGTGGACAACTCCGATGTTAAGTCGTGGCTAAGGGTTCCCTGGAACTACATACAAAGTTGGTTTTGGGAAAATGATGCTGGGGAGCTACTTCCGGATTCCATGCACGTTCTTGTGATGAAGAACTCTAATCGGTTTCTTCAGGCAGCTAAGGAGTATTGCTTGTGTAAATTCATAAGCATGGCACTACAGGACGATTGCGGATATCCATCCGGCACTTCCCTGCCTGCTGGGCAATGTTCGAACGAGCTGTCCAATCAACAAAAGGAGATAGAACAACCCCAATCCCTAAATCCTAAACCGGGATGATTCTGGAGCAGTGCTATGCGGGTGACCAGGGTTACAGTTCCTGGCTGGGAGACTACCCTCAACCCTAAACCCTCAAATCCTCGGGTTGCTCCGTTGGCGTCTCAGAGTGAAAACATACGACTCCCCCAGGAGCTAAGTGATGAGCACAAGCATTGCCTGGAGCCGTCCGTGGATGGGAGCCTTTCTTGCGTCAGACATGGAGCCAAGTGGGGGTTTCCTCGTACTTGCTTGGAGAGGCTTTGGTGATCGTGACAATCATCTTTGTCTGCCGGTTCAAGTCCCGACAGTAGTGCTTGCAACAGTTATGGTGAATGGAAACAACTGAAGCTAGGCCGCCGTCGTCGTCGTAGTAGTCCTCGTCGTGGCAGTCGTAGTAGTTGTAGCAGTAGTCGTCGTCGTTGCAGTAGCAGCCGTACTCGTGGTGAGCAGTAGTGCTAGGAGTAGCCTACCGACTCCCATGTTTGTAGCTCAAATGCAACTATTCGAAATCTGGAGAACAGTTTTCGGTGTACCGTCAAAGCCGGGGTTTCACATTGACATGGGGGTTTCCGAAAATAGGGAAACCTTTTTTTCAGGGGTCACTTGAGGGGATTCGATTCATTTGGGTATTAAAAAGGGGTACCCCCAGTTTGGGAAATGCCCACATGGGTATCCTGAACTATCCTGGATTTTGTTGGGCTGTAGTTTTTTCTTGAGCTTATGGGATATCGACATCCAGCTTATGAGGGGCCCAGAGCATTTCCCCAATGTCAACTCCAAACAAATAAGATATCGAAGGTAAATACCGTTCTTGCGCTCAGTCAAAAATATGTTGTTTTGGATATTCTTCGTGCACAATAACTTATCAGTACATTCTTGGGGCGTATACTGAGTGCTCCCTTAATTAAAAAATCTGCCTTGTACAACAGTGCTTTTGTAGCAGCAGTCAATTCCTCATAGCCGAAAAGATAGAGAAGGACACGCGACCCTAATAATAGTTCATAGTTATTGTCCAAATTTATGAAGCCCTATCTGGGAACATTAGACTCACCTCAGGAATTTTCTATTGACTGCCGATGTGGATTCAAGAGCCTGCTATTCAAATGCTTTTGTTATTGACTTTACATGGGCCATTATTTTATTCTCATTTACAGTCCCCTTTTGACACTAGAACTTCCGATGCAAATTATGGGTCTTTTCGGCCAGGCGAAGAGAGCACGATTATTGATTAATTATATTCTCTGCAGTAGCTCAAAAAACACGAAACACATGGTAAGATAGTACATGGGAAAATACGCAGAGAAAGACCAATACAACTAGCATATTGAATTTTGGAGTTTTAATGTTGTTCATTTCTGTTTACTTCTTGCCTTTTAAATTAACTTCCAGCATGATTCTATTATTGTCTTGTGGGCCAAAAGACCGCGATGAACGGAATACAAGATCCAGGCTTTGAACTTGGAGGTGAAGATAAGATATCATTGACCACGCTAACCCTTCAAAAGGCCCTACAGAGTCTTAGAACTAGCAAGGGCCTTTCAACACTCGCTACGTTCATGTGGAATGTTCATGATCTTCCAGCGCCCCACAAAAGCTATTAGTATGCGCCGACACTCTTGTGCCCGTAGTAATATGAAGGGGCGGTTGAAGTGAGTCCTTTAGTGCCGTAGTAGCTTGCCCATGATGCACGTCCATCCATTGATCGGTTCGCAGAAGGATTGATCACATTTTCGTCCGAACAGCTATTAGTTATGTCCGCAGCTCCGGCATTGGCGCAGCCTTCCCGAAACATAATTCTTGGCATGCACATCTCGGTCGAGCTGAGAATTTCAAAAGGATTCTCCAAGGCAGCTGAGGAGGAACTGCGCGTTCGAGTGATGTGCTGATTGCTTCGTTCTTGGTCGCTTCTGGGGGGGGATATTACAGGTTACCCTAAACCCTAAACCCTAAACCTTAAACCCTAAACCCTAAACCCGAAACCTTAAACCCTAAACCCTAAACCCTAAACCCTAAACCCTAAACTTGGCGGCTCCGGCAGCTGCTGCCCGACAGTCAACGGAGCGATGGCGCGTTCGCGCGGGCAAAAGCTCGCGGCCTTGACGGGAAATTCGAAATTCATGGAACAGACGTACTTGGAGGTTATAAGGCCCTTTAGGGTTTTTTAACGTTAAAGAACCCTAAATGCATGGAACAGACGTACTTGAGGTTATAAGGCCCTTTGGGGGGTAAGTACAGTTATGGTTAGTAAGTGCCATGGACCTCCAAGTAGCACCTGGAAGACACGCTTGAACGTCGACTTGTTGTAGCGTAAATAGGCCTTGGGCTATATTGAAGTTAACTTTAGGGGTGCTCTTGGAGTGCATTTGGAAGGTTGTCTCGAGCGAATGCTGTTGGAATTTGTCATGTTTCTTTAGCGTCCTTGCAGTCTTACGCTGTTTGGGGCCTATGCCGGCAGAATATGATGCTTAGTAAAAATCAGCAGTGGCACAGTGGAACCAGAGAAGCAGTAGTGGCAGGAGCAGGAGCAGGCGCTGTCGCAGCCGTGCCGCTGCTGGCGGCGGCATCGTCGTCGTCGTCGTCGTCGTGGTGGTGGTCGTGGTGGTGGTCGTGGTGGTGGTCGTGGTGGTGGTGGTGCTGCTGCTGGTGGTGGTGGTGGTGGCGGTGGTGGTGATGGTGATGGTGGTGGTGGTGGACGTCGTCGTCATCGTCGTCGTCGTCGTAATAGTTATTTAGTAGGAGGAGGAGTATAATGGTCATGGCAAGCGGTGGTTTGGCAATAGCTACGGTATCACAGGAGGAACAGTCTGAAGACCACGCAGGCAAACATTATCGAAAGTCTACGCTCAGTCCCAGCGCCAACCCCTGCCAGCTGTGGTTGAGGAGCATGACCGTCAGGGCCAGCGTCTCCTGCCCGGCCAAATTGCTGGCGCAGGCCCGCAGACTTGTTTGCAGCAAATGTCATCCTGGGCACTAGATCTTCGGCTTTGGACCAATGATTGGCTGAACATTGCGAACCCTGGTCCTCGCCTTTCGTGTCATGCATCTGCTTCAGCTGCTCTTCCAGGTCACTGGGTGGGCCGGTCCGCAGGCTCGCCTCTTCAAGATCCTCCCGGAGGACACTGGGAACGCTTTTGCTTGTCGCTGTTTGGTGCTGTGCCTTCGGTGCCACTGCCATTGTCGATAGTGTTGTTGCTGTTGTGGTGTTGGTGGTGCTGCTCTTGATGCAGCTGATGCTGATGTTGCATCATCAACATCACCACCATTATTGGCTCAGCATGTTGATGGCTGGTGCAGCTTTGAGGCTTCTGAATGCATGAGCGCATCAGCAGTGACAAAGCTGCAGCACGTGAATTGCAATGCGCTGCTGGGCCGCATGATTTCAGGAGATGGACATCTCTTCTCAGTTTCAACCCTCCAAAAAGGACGGCACAGCTGTTGTAAAATGTGTGATCCTGTGCACCAGAGTTCCGCCGGCAATGGATCCCTACACATTTTCGTGCTACTCACGCCCGCAGCTGAAGTGATGAAAACGAATCAAGGACGGATGAGGCGCAGCATTTGCTACCTGCAGAGCTTCCGATGGATATGTGGCACATCCAAGTCGCGGTGGAGACACGTGGCCAAGCGCCACAGTTGAATTGAAGGGTTTCAACATCGGCCATCCGACCCACGAATCATTTGGGCCTTCGACCTTGAACCCGACAGTACCAAGCAGTAGACTTTGTACTTATTAACCAATGATAACTGTACTTCTAACTGTACTTATGACCATATTGGGGCACTTAAGGGGCTTATAAGTGGGTTATAAAGTACAGTGAAAATTGGTGAATAAGTACCATGAACCTCCAAGACGGTCCTGAAATGCATTGTGCATCAGGGATCCTCAGTCCCGGATCCCAGGTCTGGAGTTTCTAGTTGGAGGTTCATGGGTAGTTATAAGTAGGGCGATAAGAACCCTAAACAGGGTAGTAAGTATAGTTTCCATAAGTAGAACCCTACGTATATCTATCCATGAACCTCCCAGTACCCAAGTCCCAGCTCCCACCCCAGGATATGCATGTGCCCTACTCATCCTATTGCGGGACCAGTGGTGCGGTCTCCACCATGGATTGGGGCCAACTATTTGCAGGCGCCGAGAATCCTTCAATCGGGCAAAAGGGCCGTTTTGTGTCGAATCGTTTCGGGGAGAAGTTGGGCTGTCGTTCAGAGTTTGTGGACGACAGAAGTGTTTCAGGGAGTGCGAAGTCGGCATTAAGGGCTTAGCGCTCTTTGGTCGCGACGTACTTTGAATATGGCACGCAGCTTTCTTGCCACACAGGTCTCACCCATAAATTACCCTTCGCACTTGCTGCGCGTCTTTACATTTGCACTCGTTTACACACAAACAGGTAGAAAAGCAACGCAACATATTTCTACGTGTTTCTACATACAGATATGATATAGTCATAGTGACCTACAATCTGACGGACGCGAAACAAACCGTGACATTGTTTGTTGTGCTGGAAATCTGTGCTCAGCGATGGTTGAATCAAAGCCAACCTTCTTGTTTGCATGTCTCTCGTTAGCACAGCTTTCTTTACATGAACCGCGAATTAATTTTTAATATCACCACCACCTGATACGCATGCCTTATGACTTTTGAATTATGAGCTATGACCCATTGGTCACATGGGGTTTATGCGCTACAAGCGCACGAAGAGGCGATTCTCAGCCGAAGACTTTGTGCAAGTTCGCCCCACTCATCCGGCTTCTTGACTGCACAATATGACGATGACTGAAAGAAGAAGAGCAGAGCGGCAAAAGCTTAGAATCTTGACGCACGGGTGTGTTGTATGGATAGGTTAGTGTCGCAGGCATTAGGAAGAACCAGACGCTTGGATTTGCTATCCAGGCGGGCACAGGATCTGTTCGTCTCTGCAAGTACTTTTGGCTTACAGGTTTGGCAACTTCACCGACACCGGCATTGTGAAGGTGAAGGATGAAGCCTCATGGACCGACTGGCGCAACAAACTTACAGAAAACAAGGTGGTGGCCAACTTGGGCTTCATGTTCAACCACGCAAGAACAGTTGTGTTTGATGGTTCTGAACATATACCATAGTATACGGAGAGATACTACAGAATAATTGTAGTAGTGCCCAGGTCTTGAAGGTGAGGCGCTGACGGGCTTCAAGCTGGAGACCGCGCGCAACCTCTACAGCTATGAGTGCAGCAAGATTGGCCCCTCTGAAGCCTACGAGCGGTTCAGGTACTGTACATGGTAGCCTAACCCCTGAACCCTAAACCCTAAACCCTAAACCCTAAACCCTAAACCCTGAACCCTGAACCCTGAACCCTGAACCCTGAACCCTGAACCCTGAACCCTGAACCCTGAACCCTGAACCCTGAACCCTGAACCCTAAACCCTAAACCCTAAACCCTAGCATGGACATCTGCGCATGTTCGGCAATTTGGTTTGGTAGGGGGCTTGGCATGAATCAGGCGCAGGTTTTTTTTGGATGAGGAGAGGGAGGACGAGTTGGCACAGGACGTATACTTGGAGGTTCATGGCTCATGGGTAGTCAGAATTAGGGTTATATCTCTCCTATACTTCTGACCCAATTCAGGGTACAAAGAGCCCTACTTGGAACATCACCCATGAACCTCCAAGTACACGGCTAGGCCAGGCACGCGGGGGGATGCCATAGTGCCGGTGGTGCTGGTGTTGCAAAATCTACTATTTGCCCCCTAAATGAGGAAGCATATTGTTTGGGAGGTTCTTAAGCAATTGGTAGAAATGGTTCAGGAAGGGCAAGAAAACCAAAGGAATGGAGGCGCGGGGACGGGAGGCATGCGGAGCACACCTTTGGTACTGCGAGGAGGCACTCGAAGAAAAGAGGAGTCACCATATGCTGGCATTTTTGGAATTCCCAGCTCTAACCCTAAACTTGGGATGTTCCCCCTTATACTAAGAGTCCTTAATAGGGATTATAGTAGTGGGTACTACAGTCCCTACTAAGGACTGTTAGTAGAAGGCGGAACAACCCAAGCTAAACCCGAAACCCTCAGGGATCGACCAACCCTTGTCGAGGTGGTTTGGGTTCCTGCTTCGACTTCTACAGTGCTCAGGCGCGTTTCCTCACAGAGTTTGATGTTCTAGTATACAAATCTAGGTGGGACTTTGCTACAACTTTAGCACTTTGTGAGTTTTGGGGTTCCTCTAATTTCATATTGCGGGAGCTAAAAGTTAAACTTTTACTGGGGGGGGGGGGGGGGGAAAAGAGCAACCAAGTATACTTGGGGCTTCGGGGATAGTGTTTGGGGTTTGGGGATACTATACCCCTGTGTACCACAGTAGACAAAAGTATACGATATAGTATATTGTGAGAGGGTGACGTAGTACATGCCTGGGAAACGCAGTGTTTGACTGCCAAACCTGCTTGGCAGTGCTCTCGCACAATCCTTGCTGTCCCTAAATATATATATATATATATCACAGTATACTCTGGCTTACTATCGCGAGCATGAGTGGGTGCAGCTGGGTGCGGCGGTTGTGGAAAGATGCACAGGTCGAGATCAGCAGCTTCGACGCGACCTCCTGGAGTCTTGGTACTTTTGGTAAGACCCCCAAATCGCTTTACTTGGGCCACAGCCCAGGAACCCAAAGACCGGCAAGGCTTCGCTCATGTATATATATATATATATATACATATACAGAAGTGTCTCATCTCCTGGACATGTCAATAACCTCACCAACATGATCTCTCCTGGTCCAATCCTTGGCATGTTCACACAGCGTTGTGCACACGTCTGCACAGCACACCCCGGTGATGAGTCTTTCCTTCTTCAAGGTGGATAGCTTCGCTGGCACATGCACACCACCATGGGTGCCGCCTGCACGCTCTGCGTTGTAGACCTGACTGACTGCAATCCCGCACCCACATCATGAAACAGTTGCAAACCGGTTGCAACCCTATGGAAACAGAGTAGGACACACACACACACACACACCCTTGATACTGCGTGCATAGTACAAGACAGCATGTGTGCATGTTTTGTTGCGGGGCTTTTTGGTGTACCTCGGCCACGCACTGTCGCCCTACCAGATCCCTCTCAGATCCATCTGTCCGTCACAACCCCGAGCTGCACATGCAGCTTTTGTTGCCGTTCGCTCTCTCACTGCTGTTTCCTTCGTCCATCTCACCTTCTTCTGCAGAGTGTCCATCCCCAAACCCCTAAACCCTAAACCCTAAACCCATTCTTCAAAGCAGTGAGGAAAAATCCGCTGCGGAAGTTGACCGTGAGCTGCGGAGTCAATGCAGTGATCAGTGGCTTTCACTTCGAGTTCTCCACAGGTGGCATGTGGGGTCGAGTTCGAAGCTTGGCTAAAGACAGAGACCCCTGATGGCTTAGTATAGGGGCCTTCAGAATTAGAATAGAGTTCTGGGGGTTATCATAGTATAACTATAAAGGGACCATAAGGGGATAATATTAGTAATTATTCCGACCCCTATATGATGTGCCGCGGCTGAGGGGTTCATTCTGGGGTGCATGTTTACATTCAGGGCCCATCACGCTGAAGCTCACTCTGCGACCGGAATCCGGCTTGCAAACCTGGCCCCGGAGACCGTGCTTTTAAGTAACCTAAACCAGCTCAAGAGATGAGTTAGCTGTTCGGCAGCGCGGACACTTGGCACAGGACTCATAGCGTTTTTCTTCTCTGCTTCTATGAGACCACGTGGCACCCGCGTTCTTCTGCAAGGGAGCACACTGGGTTTCGGCCGGACCCGCGTTCTTCTGCGTGGGAATGCACCGGGGCCCGCGTTCCTCTGCGTGGGACCGTACCGGGTCTCGGTAAAACCCGTGTTCTTCTGCGTGGGGCCGTGCCGGCTTTCGGCGGGACCCGCGTTCTTCTGCGTGGGACGGAACTGGGTTTCGGGGAGGCCCGCGTTCTTCTGCGTGGGACCGTGCCTGGTTTCGGTGGGAACCGCGTTCTTCTGCGTGGGACCGCACTGGGTTTCGGTGGGACCCGCTAAATCGCTCCGTTCTTCTGCGTGGGGGGACCGTACACCCCGTTTGGGTTTTACAAGGCTAATTAAGGGAAGGGGAGGGCTGGACCCCTTCTTCGTGTCGTTGTAGCGTTGTAGTCCAAGCGCCTGCCCAGCCGGTGCGTTGGTGTGTGGTCTGTAAAGCCCGGAGTGGGCTTGCCATATGGGTGGGCTTGCTTTTGGTACCGCCAAACGGTCAACCGTCCGGCTTCAGCACGAGGGGCCCAAATAGTATCGCAAGAATGCCATCAGGCAAGTAGCGTGCCCGAATTGTCTGCAAGAAGGGCTTCTACAATGCCCGGCAATGTCAGAGCAAGGTCCGTGCAAACATCTTGGATGCTACAGCACCATGAATGCTTTGCGGCAATGTGCCCGATTGGCGTGCAAAATGCGCGGTTTCCGGCTTCGTTTTTGGGGCTGTTTTCTGGGCAGCTTTCTTCATGCCAGCAGCAGCCAGGGCACAGAATTTGCGGCCCGCGCCGTGGGCGCAGTTTCGGAACCGCAAAATTTTCATTTTTGGGGTCGTGCTTTTGGCTCCAAGTATTTGGTCATTTGTCGGGCTGCTTTGTCTTCCCACCCCGGCGACCAGTTTTCGTCCCATTTTGGTGGTCGGGTTTCCGGCCCGCTCGGCGGTCCCAAAAAACTGACCCAGGCACAGTATCTCGGGCTCGTGCCTTCCTAAGCGGCCGAGAGCCACTCTGCTGCCAAGGACATCGATGCTGCAAGGCGGGTGGAGTACCAATGAGCATTGAACCTCGGGGCCAGGTGACAGAGCTCGTTAGCCACTCGGCCAAGAGCAATGCTGGGGCAAAGGGGAGTTTATCTATGAGCCTTGGAAAGGAAGCCTTTATTTTCACGGACCGACACACCACCATACCCGGAATCCATGCTCGCGCAGCATGCTTGCTGGAAGCACAGCAGCACGTGAACTGAGGCCAATACGATGGAGTGTATTGCCCCACCGGACGAGATGAACAAACCGGGCGTGTGACCTATGTCTTCTGGCCTGCGCTCGTAGACAGACCAGGTTTTTGGAGTTGGGGGGGGCGGGGTGGCAACTTTCATGGAGCTCACGCAAAGACGGCCCATGACGGCCCCCTTCTCAGAAAACGCAGATGCACTGAACTCTGAGGCGGGCGGCTCTGCGCAGGCTTTGGTCTTCCAGCGCAGCTCCGGCCCCGCGACGTTTGGATGTTCAGAGTCGTTAAATTTTGCCCGAGAAAAATGGGGTGTGGGTACCGTATGTCTCCTGCAGTGACAATGGAGGGAAGACAGACTACACTTTGGAAATCTGCAGCAGTGATTCAAATTCCAGTTCGCTCTGCGAGAAACAACTTAGAGCAGTGAAGAGTGAAGTAAGCTTGGAAGGCAAATGGTGCGTCGGCGATGACTGCTCCAAAGTCACCAGCACTGCTTCTCCAGTCGGCGTGGAAGGCTTCGGTGTATCATCTGAGAACTCAGCTGACCCTAAACCCTCAACCCCAAACCCTAAACCCTAAACCCTAAGCCAGCTGGCCATCCCCTGCAGGTGCTGCCTTCGAGGTTGTCAACGTGAGCGACTTCAATGGCGAATTCGTCGGGCAGATGCCGAAGCTGGGAGGAAGCAAGGCGCGGACCGCCCATCGCAAGCGAGGTGAGTCCATGCTTAGTATAGGGTTTAGGGTTTAGGGTTTATTTAGGGTTTAGGGTTTAGGGTTTAGGGTTTAGGGTTTAGGGTTTAGGGTTTAGGGTTGTCGTCCAAAGACTACATCATCTGTATCTGGAATCTACTTGTGCCTAGCCTGTAATATGTCCATGCCAGTGTGCATAATCAACCGATACAGTGTATGTATGTATGCATATATATATATGTATGTATCCCACAAATGCTACTTCCGAATCCTTCAGCCTCTGAATCACCCTCTCTTCCTCTTGAATTTGTCCCGTCTTTCGGCCTTCTGCTTCTCTCCTTCTCCTCTTTTGCTTCATCCTCCCCAAACCCGAAACCCTGAACCCTAAACCCTAAGCCTAAACCCTCAACCCTATACTAAGCAGGTGGTGACATTCAGACCTTGCTCTATGCTGTACAGATTTACCCTCTTATATGTAATTTCGTGGGTATAGTATACTTTTCTACATAGTAGACGATACAGGCTACCTACCTAGTCTACGTATGTTATATACTTTACAGCATACCCTAAACCCTAAATCCTAAATCCCTAAAATACAGCATACAACACTCTCCACACGATGTCACTTATTCCACGCAGTATGTTATCTTGCAGAACCAGAGACACCTGACAGGCTCTATCCTTGGCCGAGGCGCCTTTCTGTTAAGGGAAGGGTTTGGGGTAGTGTTTAGGGTTTAGGGTTCAGTGTTTAGGGTTTAGGGCCTAGGGCTTAGGGCTTTAGGGTTTAGGGTTTAAGTAGTGTTTAGTGTTTAGGGTTTGGGTTTGGTTTGGAGTTTAGGGTTTAGGGTTTGGGATTTCGGGTTTAGGGTGTTTAGGGTGTTTAGGGTGTTTAGGGTGTTTAGGGTGTTTAGGATTTAGGGTGTTTAGGGTGTTTAGGGGGCTTAGGGTGTTTAGGGTGTTTAGGGTGTTTAGGGCGTTTAGGGTGTTTAGGGTGTTTAGGGTGTTTAGGGTTTAGGCAATGTTTGTGCTGTTGTTCCCTCTCACCATGCGGTTTCATGTGGTTTCTATTGTTAAGCCTCCTCCCGACGCAGCCACACAATACACCCACACAGAGAGCACGACCCTATAAGCAGCCATCCGCAAAACTAAGTGTGGATCCTGCAGTCCTGCGCATTCGAACTGTTGACTGAGGTACGAAAACCGCACTGCGGCAGAATGGACGGCCCTAAACCTAAGTAAGCATCCACAATACTAAGTATGGTTCCAGCACTCCTAAGCATTTGAACTCTTGCTTGAGCTTCTGGATGCTAAAACCTCTAACTCTCACTGGGACAGTGGTGCGCACCAAAGATGTTGCACAACCAGCCAAACAATGCCTGTGTCTTGAGAAAAGCTGTCGTCAGCAACTCTGCTGGAGATGATCTGACAGACGTGCCACGCCAACTGCTCAGCTCCCAACAACCAGCGTTTTCTTAGACCTGATAGAACAGCAAGCATTGGCCCTCTGGAACGTCTGCCAGCACCTGCGCGTGGGTGCCGGCCTGTTACCGGCACCCTACCGTTGGCAGCGTCCCTCTCCACGTTTCCGGGATTGCTGCTTCTCTTTGCGCTGCATCTGCTGCTTCTCTATGACGCCGTGCAAAGAGAGGCAGAAAATCTGCTTGGCGGTGATGAGGCATCAATGGATGCAGTTGGGAGCTTGCTGCCAGGGCAGCTGCTCCAGCTTTATGTGGACAGCGACCTGAATTCCCAGCGTACCCTTGACGCCCACATGTTACGTTCCACTTGAGATGGAGATCACCTCCTAGACCTTGCTGCGCTGTGACGGCTGCGTGGTCTGCTCGCCCCATGCTTCCACAGAGCGTACCTCGTTGATGCTGCCCGTGGCCACCAGACCCGGTTTGGAGAGCAGTCGCTGCGCAACGTCGACAGACGAAGGTCACCGGGGTTGGTGCGAAACGCTTCGAACGGAGCAAGAGCATGTGTCACCGCACACACAGATGCACGCGCCCACAAGCGCCTACACTCATACATATATACATACATACATACATACATACATACATACATACATACATACATACATACATACATACACACATACACACATACATACATACATACATACATACATACATACATACATACATACATACATACATACATACATACATACATACATACATACATACATACATACATTACATACATACATACATACATACATACATACATACATACATACATACATACATACACATACATACATAGCACATTCACGCATTTCAACACCCACCCACACAAAACCACACCGACCGACCAACCAACCAACCGACCGCCCACCACCGGTCTTTGCATGAAAACTGTGGGGTTCTATGGTTCTTAAACTCGTTGCTCCGGTTGACTTTTCTTGTTTTTCAAGAAATTGAATGCACAGCTGCAGTTGCAGCAGCAGCTGCATCGGTCGCAACTTGTTGTCGACAGTGCGATAGCCCTCAAAACGGACTTTCCAAAACTGAGATTGTCAGCATTTATGGTTTAGGGTTGAGGGTTTAGGGTTTAGGCTTAGGGTTTAGGGTTGTGCCTTTCCCCGCGCAGGATCAGTCGCAGTGTCTTCGGGTGGGTCTTTTAGCCCAGCTCGAATTACCCTTTCTCCCTGCATCTTCTTCTTGTATCTATATCCCCCTTGGGATTCTTTTTTAGCTTTGTGCAAAAAACCCCAAGAGGATTTGGTAAGGTTCTAAGGGAGTATAGGTACATCATTTTACCAACCAATTGTTCTGGATCGGACCCCCCTGCTATCAGTAGAGTGGCGCGCCACATCCTCCGAGACTACAATACCCATTCATTAAGGAATCTTTCTTAAACCCTTTAAGGAACACTCTTATGTTTTAAGGAGTAGTCCTTAATTCAGGGGTATTGCAGTCTCCGGGTCTACATGGCCTTCACCAGGCTCTGAAGCTGAAGCCTCCTAAGCGGCCAGCGCAGCCCCCGATGCCTGAGCTGGAAGAGCTCGGAGCCCGGAAATTTAGGGTTTAGGGTTTAGGGTCTAGGGTCTAGGGTCTAGGGTCTTATTTCAGCATGGTGCAGATGGGGGTTCCGAAATTCGGGGTACCCTTTCTGGGGTTCCTATTTGTAAGGATACTAGTATTTTGGGGGTATGTTAGGGGTACTCCTATGGGAAATGCCGAGATAGAAGCTGTTGTCTTGTGTTGTACTACAAGTCTGCTTCTGTGGCTTATCATGTGGTGCAACTTACTATGAGGAGATAGAGGAGCCAGGGCCGCACATGAAAACCCTAAACCCTAAACCCTAAACCCGGGCTTTTGGGCCGGATGCACCCTGAGGTTCAAAGCCCAGCAGCCCCAGTACGCGGCGGAATGCCTGGACTACGGTAACCTTTGGAAGGAAGTGACGGAGACGTTCAAAGATGAGGAGGACTCCATGGATTTGCAAAGAAATCCCTAGTTCATTGCAGATATCTATGGAAATATTTTATGTTAACATGCTATAATGTACTCTTACTCTACTATTGTATACTATACTGTTCACTTCAGCCTCACGCCTTGCCTCGTCAGGACAACGAAGTCCAGAAGACTTCCAAGCTGGAAGCAGACCCCAGCACCAAGGAGAGCGAATGCGAATGGTGCCAAGAGCTGTGTGTGTATGTACGTATGTACGTACGTACGTACGTACGTATGTATGTATGTATGTATGTCTCTCTGTGTGTACTTGTTTGTTTGTTTGTTTGTTTGTTTGTTTGTTTGTTTGTTTGTTTGTTTGTTTGTTTGTTTGTTTGTTTGTTTGTTTGTTTGTTTGTTTGTTTGTTTGTGTGTTTGTGTGTTTGTTTGTGTGTTTGTTTGTGTGTGTGGGTGCGTGTGTGTGTGCGTGTGTGTGTGCGTGTGTGCGTGCGTGTGGGTGCGTGCGTGTGGGTGCGTGCGTGTGGGTGCGTGCGTGTGGGTGCGTGCGTGTGGGTGCGTGTGGGTGCGTGCGGGTGCGTGCGTGCGTGCGTGCGTGCGTGCGTGCGTGCGTGCGTGCGTGCGTGGGTGCGTGGGTGTGTGTGTGTGTGTGTGTGTGTGTGTGTGTGTTGTGGTGTGTGTGTGGTGTGTGTGTGTGTTTGTGTGTTGGTGGGTGCGTGAGTGCCTGCGTGCCTGCCTGCGTGCGTCCGATATCCCACTGGATCTCTTTGGTCATGTGCCCGCCTCTTTCTAACGGCAATGATGGGTTTCGGGTTGAGGGTTTAGGCCCCCCCCCCCCCCCCCGTTTCTCTGGGAGCTGTGGCGCATGGACTCCCTTTACAGGACGCGAGCCTGGACTCGTATCATCCTTGCGAAGTCGCCAAGTCCGTCGGCGGCTTTTTCGGACGATGGGGCGGAGGCACGAGTCCCCTCGTTTCAGTCCCTATGAATTCTGACCCGCCTTGAGCCCCAAGCCCCCAATTGCATGGGTAAGGGACATGCACCGCAAGAGAAGAAGAAGAAGAAGAAGAAGCTAAACCAATTCATGTCACACCTCCCCAAAAATCGGCCCCCCTTCTTGGAAGCCTTTTTGACTTAGTAAGTAGGGTTCGGAAAATGGGTTCGGGAGAGTATTGCAGTAAAGGTTTTCTAGGGGAAACTGAGACATTCTAAGTCAAAAAGGCTTCCAAGTAAAGCCTTGTTCACTTAAGTGCGTGAGGTGACGGCTCCGCAGCGCCGCAGAACATGATGTATGACTCATGGAATGAGTGCGAGGCAGGCGGGACACGTCCTCTGCTCGTTGGCATGTTGCAAAAAACGATTGCGTTTTAACAGGTGCGAGGAAAAGCGCTCTACATAAGACATCGCGCGGTTTCTGGTGAAGATGTGACATGCAGATACCCCTCCCCCCCAATCTCCCACTGCCTGAGTGAAACCGCTGCATGAATGGGCAGGTGATATCGCTCGGGACCTGAAACTCGACCAGCTGAATGCTCATCTCGAGATGACGAACATGATCTTGGACTACAGCGAGGAGGGCCGGGCCTCTCTCGTTGTTTTTTCGTGCTATCTGCGGCTGAGTCAGGAAGCCATGGGGTCAATTTGCTCCGTCATACCGGATGCCGCTGCCTCGTTATCAAATCCATGGCTGTGTCATCTCGTTGTGCTGTACGTCGCTGTCTACTCGGCACGAGCATCGCTTACCTTGCAATGCTCTTTTTGACCAGGCACCAGTGCGAGTTGAAGGTGAAGTTGTTGGCATGTTTGGCTTCGGCTGGGGTTGTCTCTTCGGCGCAGACCTGGATCTGACCAAGGTCACGATTGCGCCCATGGGCGTGGGCACAGAGATCAACACCAATGACGTGTGCGACGGCCTGGCGGAATTCATACCGAAAATCAAGAAATTCACAGGGCCTGCGAGCGGATGCTGAGCTGCCTTTCAGACTCTGAGATGTTCATGAATGTGGTAAACTTCGTCGGCGCACACCAATATCCGCTCCACCGCAAAAATCATGGGACCCGGACTGTGGCACGTTGAAAACACCGCAAAATCATGGGCCGGGGCTGTAGCACGTTGAAAACCGGCGCAAAAATCATGCGACAAGCGGGACTGTGGCACATTGAAAAACATTTGGATCTGAGCGGTTCGGACAAGCGTCAAGCCGGCATCCCTGCGTAGCTCCTCCTATGAGATGTCTTGCATAGGATGCCTGTGATGATCTGCTCACGCGCACACCAAACTCCTCGAGACGCCTTGCTGCTCTCTCTCTGCTCTCTCTGCTCTCTCTCTGCTCTCTCTGCTCTCTCTGCTCTCTCTGCTCTCTCTGCTCTCTCTGCTCTCTCTCTGCTCTCTCTCTCTCTCTCTCCCCCTCTCTCTCTCCCCCTCTCTCTCTCTCTCTCTCTCTCTCTCTCTCTCTCTCTCTCTCTCTCTCTCTCTCTCTCTCTCTCTCTCTCTCTCTCTCTCTCTCTCTCTCTCTCTCTCTCTCTCTCTCTCTCTCTCTCTCTCTCTCTCTCTCTCTCTCTCTTACTCTTATACATATTTATTGTTTTACAGATTTCCAGCATGTCTGACACCAGTGCCTGTGCCCCTTTGAAGAACGGCCAAGAATGGGGCACTCGGGTGCAAGAGCTTGCCATCGCTTTTGTGCCTCAGTCGCATCTCAGAGTGTGCTGGAGGTCAGTGGTCAAAAGCCTGCCAAGGCCAAGAAGCAGGAGGAAGGTTTACATGTCTGATGTATAAGGTCACAGAACGACTGAAAGCCCGGTTCCCCTCGCGAAATTGATTGTAGTACCCTCTACTCCAAAAGACGGGCGTGATGTCCCAGGGTCATTTGTTCAGTCCGTGCACTTGAGGGCTTCCATGGAGAATGCACGTCTTGTCCCAGAAACCTCCGCTGTGCGTGCCAATATCCGTTCTTCCGTTTTTTCTCTGCGTTGTCCAGGAAGACAGGGCTTCCTGCGATCCCCTGCAAGTCGGCTTTGCCCGTGCCTTCTGCGACATCCACTGCGTGCGGGATGCCGTGATCAGGGGTGACAGATCCATCATCCGGAACCTGGAGCTGGCCACCAAAAAGACCAACAATAACATGAAGGCGTTGGTAAAATGGTCTGCAGATGCCGCACGCGTCGAGACCGGATGGCTCGGCGACAAGCTGGATTACATGCACGCCATTAACACCGCCTACCTGCAGGAGATCCACACCATGTTGACGGCACACACGACACAAGAAGAGGCCTCGACTCTCCTGCAACGTGCTCAGTCAGTCACCGACGGCATGTTCCAGGAGCTCTGTCAGTCTCAGTCTTTGTAGCCGATCCCCACACTGTGTTTGTAGACAGATGCACCCAGCGAACACAAACCCTCACTATCACCTGCGGCTGGGTCTGGACCTGTGGTTTGCCTCCATCTGAACGCATTATTGATCGGGAACCTGTCTGAAGTGCAGCATGTCGGCGACAGTTGCTGTGACAAACGAGGCCCCAGAAGTGTCTTGAACATCTCATCCAACCAACTTTGCATCCTTCCGGAAAACCAAAGCACCTGGGCTGGGCATGAGAGCAGCGCAGGATACAGTCCAATGCAAGACACGGCGCACCACAGTACACGGTGTTACAGCAAAGTAACCCCGGTGCAAGGCTTCACAATGCAGGCATGGTCGTAGCATGCAGTAACAATAACTCGGGCTCTGTTACTCTTACGACAGTACGGAACAATGGCATGTTCCAGGAGCTCGCTGGCTATGCAGACGCAGCTTCCTTCAATGAGCTGTCACGGCTCACGGCCGCCAGCGCCCTGACGCAGTTTCTCCAGGCTCCCGACCTCACCTCTCCCAATGCCACCGGAGTGGCCTCGCTGCTACTTGGTAGCCCAGTGGTACCCTTTACCCCCCTTTTGTTTTTTTGGTTCTTGGTTCCCTTATAAAGTAACCAACCCCAAGAAAGGGTGCCCTTATTAAACGGTTTAGGGTTTAGGGTTTAGGGTTTAGGGTTTAGGGTTTAGGGTTTAGGGTTTAGGGCTACTGGGCTACTTCAAGGCTAAGCCGCTTGGATGCCCTCCACCAGACATTGCAGCGGGCAGGCAGCGGCACCACCAAGAGCGAGATGGTGAACCACGGCTTAAATTTGATCCACTCCCATTTGCTTATAAAAAACTCCCAAAATATCTGCATAATAGTACTAATAATAATTCAATAAGAATACCGATATTACCCTTTTAAGGAAGAAGGTTACATTTTGTTGGGGTTTCTCAAGCAGTTAAGCAGTTGGTAAGCCTTAATAATTAGAACGGGGTTTTGGGGGCTGTTAGAGTATCATTATGAAGCGGCCAGAAGTCCCTATATTATGGTAGTGCACAAACATTAGGGTTTAGGGTTTAGGGTTTAGGGTTTAGGGTTTAGGGTTTAGGGTTTAGGGCCGTCCCAAGTTGTGTAAGCGCCACTCCCAGCCGCGAGCCGAGCTTTGGAGTTGTGCAGCCGCTTAAGATCGAGCTCTTCCTAGTGGCGAACAGACCATGAAACTCAGATGCCAACCATCCGAGACAGAGATCCCTCTGAGAACCACATTTCCGGGGCCGCTCTCCAATTTTTGGGGGGGGCTTTCCCTAAACCCTCAAACCCTCAAACCCTCAAACCCTCAAACCCTCAAACCCTCAAACCCTCAAACCCTCAAACCCTCAAACCCTCAAACCCTCAAACCCTCAACCCTAAACCCTAAACCCTAAACCCTAAACTGTTGCTCCTAGCAAGGAGCCAGCAGATGGCCACGAGCCTTCGGCACCTACAGAGCCAGGCGAATTTGCAGCTGCGGACTTTGGGGGTCTACCGCTTGGAAACTTGGTTTAGGGTTAAGGGTTTAGGGTTTAGGGTTTGGGGTTTGGGGTTTGGGGTTTAGGGTTTAGGGTTTAGGGTTTAGGGTTAGGGTTGTTTGGTGTTTTTTGGGGTTTAGGGTTTAGGGTTTCGGGCTTTTGGGTTTCTTGGGAGCCCAGTGGTACCCTTTCCCCTTTTTGTTTTTGGTTCAAGGTTCCCTTATAGTAACTATCCCAAAAAAGGGTGCCTTCTTAGAATGTCGTTAATTACTGGGCTACCAAGGAAAGCAACACCACCAGCCATGCTGCCAGAAGCAAAACGGGAGAAAACTCGGGCGCCTCGGTCGCCTTGGCCCGTTCTGAGCGCCACCAGGTCATGCTGGCCTTGGACCACATCTGGTGGCAACTCCGCACCAAGCTGGATGACTACCTCGCCGTGGCTGAGGACGAGGTGCAGGCCTTCCAGGACTCTCTCTCGGAGATGCACCTTCGGGATACCTGGAATGTTTCTTTACTTTTTGGGCACTTTAATTCCGAAGAAACAGCTAGAATTATATCTTTTGTTCCGTATAGGCACAGCTACATGGGCTGCAGCCAGGGCTTCCACGGCCTGGCTGCCACTTGGCTGCAGGAGAAGTCGCTTCATAGATGGGCTTGGCGCTCAAACGGGCCCCAGTGCAAATGTCCACGTGCGTGCGCTTGCTGAACCTAATCGAGTGTGCTGTATTATCTAGTCTACTACGAAGGATGCTAAACCTGAGTATACTCTACACAGTGTAGTATCCTACAGTAAGCCATACCACAGTAGCAGTAGCAGTAGCAGTAGCAGTAGCAGTAGCAGTAGCAGTAGCAGTAGCAGTAGTAGTAGTAGTAGTAGTAGTAGTAGTAGTAGTAGTAGTAGTAGTAGTAGTGTAGTAGTAGTAGTAGTAGTAGTAGTAGTAGTAGTAGTAGTAGTAGTAGTAGTAGTAGTAGTAGTAGTAGTAGTAGTAGTAGTAGTAGTAGTAGTAGTAGTAGTAGTAGTAGTAGTAGTAGTAGTAGTAGTAGTAGTAGTAGGTAGTAGTAGTAGTAGTAGTAGTAGTAGTAGTAGTAGTAGTAGTAGTAGTAGTAGTAGTAGTAGTAGTAGTAGTAGTAGTAGTAGTAGTAGTAGTAGCAGTAGCAGTAGCAGTAGCAGTAGCAGTAGCAGCAGCAGTAGCAGTGTAGTCCGCTCTAGCTCCGGAAGGCCAGCTACACCTCCAGCATGGCCGCCATGCGCCGAAGCCACCGCCACCTCCGGGCGACCTGGAACCAAGGCGGGCGCCAGAATTTGTTTGGTGTTCGGGGCCCGGGGTTTAGGGTTTAGGGTTTTGGGTTTGGTGACGCCTTTTCAGACCGTACTTTCTCTTGGAGCTTATAAGCCCTGATGGACCAGATGTTTCAAGAGTAACCCCCCCAAAACCCCTGAGCCCTAAACCCTAAACTTAAGCCCTAAACCCCAAACCCTAAACCCTCAAGGCCAGGATAAATAGAAATTGTAGGCGGTTCATTACGAGCAGCTCGTGCAATCATCCTTCATCCTTCATAGTGCAAAGAAAAATCAGACAAAGGCACCAAAACAGACCCTGAACAGGAAAACAGGGAAAGAAAGCGCAGATGCTGCCGGCCCCCCCCAAAACCCCCCAAAAAACCCCGTCGGCAACAGCAAAAAACAAAACCCCCCCAAAACCCGGCAAAACCCCCCAACACCGACGCAAACCCTATGCAAGTTCTATAAACCCTAAACCCTACCGAGTTCTCTTTGCGTTGTGGGCACCCTGGAGGCTCCAACCTGCTCGGGGAGCTGGCCAGGGCCTCATCTCGAAGATTTCCATTATCCGCGCAGCAGTAGCCATATTGTCTTCCCATACTTGGAGGTTCATGGATAGGAAAAAGGCCATAATGGTATGGTAGGGTTATAAGTATGGTAGCTATACTTATAACCTACAACCCTACCTAGGGTACTTATAACCCTGCGTACAACCACCCATATGAAGCTCCAAGTACTGGCATACGGAGGTGCTGTCGAGTTGTTCTGATGAGAGGCCTCCGTCTTGGCGGACTCCGAAGCCTTCCAGGGCTTCGTGGCGGAGCAGGGCTGCCAGTCCCCGCTCGTGAAGCGCTCTGGCTAAAGTCATGCCTGCAACAAAAGCCAGCAGAACCCTTTTCGACCGTCAAAAAAGCCAGCTGTCCCCCCTTCGTCCCCAGGGAGGCTTCCACAGGCGCAGTGCAATTCAGAGTTCAATTCAGGTTATGGAGACTATGAGGCAAGGCGAAAGGTTTGGAGGGGAAGCTCTTCTATGGATCAACAAAGACACGCCAAGAAGAACGTACTTCCCTACAGAGCAAACACGTACGCAACGGTCCTGTACTGTAGTATCCTGTAGTCGCGTCCAGTGGTCCATTGCTCCCATTGTCCGTGCTGTCCCGCTCCCAGTCCTGCGAATAGAGCTTTGAAGTTGAAACAACCTGGCCGTTAAGTGTTCTGGGAAGCCTCAGCTTACATGGTGGGCTTGTATCAAAGTCTCACTGCAGGAAAGTGTCGTTGCTGTTTGGGGGGGGGGGGGGGATGTTGTTGGGGGGGGTTTTGGTGAATCTTAAGCATTCTGATCGTCTCATGGAGGTGCCTGAAACTGGATACAGGATGCGAAAGAACCAGGGTCATGCTCTGATCGTGATCTCAAGTACTCCAATGAACAGGAATTCAAGGATCAAAAGCTCTGATGTCTTTCTGATATCTATTCCACAATGCCGTTCCCCGGTTTCCTTCCTCACAACATGGTCCCAACGGGCACCACTTGAAGGTTCATGGTACTTATTAACCAATAAAAACACCCAGATTAATTATAACCATACTAGGGTAAGGGGCCTATAAGTGGGTTAT